CAGAGGGAACAGCCTAGACAAGGGTTTGAGTGGGAAAACATATGGATAGGGGCAGGGGCGTTAGGAGGGACTGAATACAGACAGAGCCGTGTGGCTAGAGCTGAGGTGGGCAGGGCCTCAAATGCCGGGTGGATAGGGAGCCATAGCAGGTGTGTGAGCAGGCCAGGGTTCTAGATGACGGCAGGCTTCTGGGAAGCCAGAGAGCAGTTGGGCATGGACCTCATCCAGACCACATGTGTGGGCAGTGGCTGGGTACAGGAAGGGAGGGCAGACAAATATTTGAAGAGTGAAGTAACCAGGACTGGAGGTTGGGGCTCAGAGAGAGGGCCAAGCAACACAGACCTCCTCCCCCAGTCTGACCTGAAGGTCAAGGAGCTGGGCTCAGAGATGTGAGTTCCATTTCGGAGCAGTGGGGGGGCTGAGGTTTTGAGGTTTACACCAGCTCTGCAAGTTCATGCTCACAGCAGGTGGAGGGGTTTCTTGCCCTTTTATTTCTTAAAACAGCTTTACTGAGATATGGTGTGAGGTACACACCATCAAAGATACCCCTTTGAAGTGTACAATTCAACACCTTTTCACGTATTTATAGAGTCGCACAACCATCACCACAATCTAATTTTAGAACATCCCCATCACCCTAAAAAGAACCTTCAAGCTCCTGTTTAACAGTCATTCTCTCTACCTCTTAAATGGACTCATAAAAGTTTTATCTCCGATAACCCATTTTATGGCTCAGGAAACTGAGGCTCAATTTCTACCCCTTTTCCAGAGGCAAAGTCACTCGCATACAGCAGGTAGCAGTGAAGCCCCGAAGCTAGGTGTCAGCCCCTGAGACGTTAACAGACACTTCAGGGGCTCTTGGGACAGGTGTAGTGAACCGCAGTCCTTAAGACCCCTCCCTGGGAAGGCTGGGGGTCCCGTCTCAGGGCTGAGTCATGGCTGCTGTCAATTTTCATGAGCAGCCCGGGCTTGAAGTGCTTGAAGTGGAGACCCTGGCAACAAGCCCACTGTGTTGTGTTTTCAGGGGATGTTCAGAGTCTCGTTTTCAGTGTCTGCAGGTGGTTCTTGCATTTTGGGAACTTCTTTCCCTTAAAAGGGGGCTTCTGAAAGGCCTCGAGTCAGTGAGGGTGGCTCACCCTTATTCATTCTACGAATATAGAGAGGCTACTGTGAGCCGCATGGGTCAGGGGACAAAGCAAAGACCCCTGACCTCCCGTGGTGGGGGAGCGGGTACATAGAGTAGAGACAAGTTAACTCAGTGGTTGGATGTCATCTTCGGATGCCACACAGTGAGGGCTGCTTGGGAGAAAACTGAGGCCAAGAAGAGGAGAAGGGGGAGCGGGTTGGGGGGGGGCTTTTAAAAACAATCTCTACTGGACCGGGCAGCTTAAATTTCCTGGTGATAGATTTTGAGCTTCTTTTCCGCATTTCACTCTCAGACGCTGAAACTAAAGAATTGCTTTTGCCCGGTTCACAACCACCTGGGGATTTCCCACCGGTTTATCCTGAAGCTCTTAAAATTCCTGTCCCGCTGGGGTGATTTGGGAAGTGTTTGTCAAGAGTGGAGAGTGGCGGGGCTCCTGGGACAGGTGCAGCCGGCGCCCCGGCGCCCCCTGCGGGCAGCTGTCCTGCTCACACACCACCACCCCCGCCCCCTTAACACCCAGGGTTCCCGGAGCGAGTGGAGCTGTTACCCCTGCCCCGCTGGCAGCCCGTGGGCGAAAACATCACCCTGCGCTGCCAGGTGGCAGGCGGGGCGCCCCGGAGAAACCTCACCGTGGTGCTGCTCCGCGGGGAGGAGGAGCTGAGCCGGCAGCCAGCCGTCGGGGAGCCCGCCGAGGTCACGGTCGCGGTGCTGGCGGGCAGAGAGGACCACCTCGCCAATTTCTCCTGCCGCACGGAATTGGACCTGAGGCCCGGAGGGCTGGGATTGTTCCAGAACAGCTCCGCCCCCAGGCAGCTCCAAACCTTTGGTGAGGCACTGGGGAGCTGCCAGAGAGGATGGGCTCAGGGCTTTGTTCTTGCTTGGGGAGCCAGGGGAGAGAGGCCTTTGGTCGGGGTGCTAAGGCTTCAGGAAAGAGCATGTTCTTGAGCATTGGGGTGGGGTGGTCTGGGATGGGGTGCCCCAGTTTAAGGACCTTCTGAAAAGGCTATAATCCGGCTTGGGTTCTGGGACAGGGGTGACCAGAGCCGCAAAGTCTCTGGGAACCAGAGAATGTCCCAGATGGGGGAATGAAAATGCCCCAGAAAGGGGTTTCAGGTTGCATGTCGCCTCTCTGTTCACACCCACCCTCTTTCGCCAGTCCTGCCAGAGACCCAGCCACGCCTTGCTACCCCCACAATTGTGGAAGTGGGCACACAGTGGACTGTGAACTGCACTCTGGATGGGCTGTTCCCAGCTGCGGAGGCCAAAGTCATCCTGATGTTAGCAGAAAAGACACTGGACTCTACATCCCTGTACAGCAAAGACTCCGTCTTGGCCATGGCCAATGTCAAGGCGAACTCACAAGAGGAGGGGATCCAGCAGCTGGCGTGTGTGGTGACCCTAGGAGGTCGAGACCAGAAGAGGGAGGAGAATGTGGTCCTCTACAGTAAGTCAGGATGGGGCGGGGCCTCCTAGGGGCGAGGCCAATGCTAGGGGGGCAGTGCTTACTGTGCGCCCACCCCCTTCCAGGCTTCCCCGCGCCTAGCCTGACCCTAAGTGAGCCAGAGGTCTCAGAAGGGACTGTGGTGACTGTGGAGTGTGAGGCCCAGGCTGGAGCCACGGTGTTGCTGGAAGGCCTATCATCCGAGTCTCCAGCACACAGAGCAGAATTCCGACTAAATGCCAGCGCCGCGGACCACAGACGCAGCTTCTCCTGCTCTGCTACCCTGATCGTGGCTGGACACCTGTTGCACAAGAACCAGATCCGGGAACTCCGAGTCCTGTGTGAGTGGGGCCACTGGCCAGTGACCCCTAACCCCGAGGACCCAGCCCCTAAGATCCCATGAGCTCCTGGCCTCTGAGGGCACCCCCCAGCCCTCTCCCCAGATTCCTAGGTGGTGAGGGTGTCCTCCTGGTTCCTCACCCCTTCCTCATCTTGCTGTGTTTCTCCAGATGGTCCCCGACTAGACGAGAGGGATTGTCCGGGAAACTGGACATGGGAGGAAGGCTCCCAGCAGACCCTGCGGTGCCAAGCTTGGGGGAACCCAGTTCCTGAACTGAAATGTCACCGGAAGGGGGACAATGCTTTGCTGCCCATCGGGGACCTGAGACCCGTCAAGCGAGAGGTTGCGGGCACTTACCTTTGTGAGGCCCGGAGCCCCCGCGGGGTGACCAGGCGCGAAGTGGTCCTGAACGTGACCTGTGAGTGTGCTGGGGTTTGGAGCTGGGCAGGGCAGGGACAATGAGCCTGACTCAACCCTCATCAGCCCTGTGTCCTCCCCACAGACCACCAGAATAACATGGCCATCATCATCGTGGTGGCAGTTGCTGTCCTCCTGGGAACTGTGAGCGGAGCCGCTTACCTCTATAACCGTCAGCGAAAGATCCAGAAATACAAGCTACAGAAGGCCCAGGAGGCAGCTGCCATGAAGCTGAACACACCGGCCACACCGCCCTGAACCTGGGCCAGGAACCAGCCTCCCCCTCAGCCCCCCACACGGTGGCAGCAGTGCCACATTGAACAAGGGTGGTCACAAACTATGCAGCTCCACCCACCTTCCCAGGATGCCTGAGGACAGGATAGAGGCCTCAGGATACAGACAGGATTTGGGGTCCTGTCACGGGCACACTTAGGATCCCCAAGCCTCATGCCTGACCTGGAGCCACAGGACTGAGCCACAAGGAGGGGGCAGGACATGGGGCATGACTGAGGGATGTCAGGGCCTGACCTGTCTAGGGTGGGTGTGGTGGGACACTCAACATGGGACCCCCAACTGGGAAACAGTGAAACACCCCTACTGCATGTACTGAGATGCTCTAGTCCTAAGAGAGAAGTAGCCTGCACAAACACAAACAGCATGGAAACACATACCCCCATACTTCCTCTGACAAATGCCAGCTCCAGCCCTGCAGTCCACGGACTGTCCCCAACTTTTAATGATGACATATTTATTAATTTGTTCTTTTACCAGCTATTTATTGGGTGCCTTTTATGTGGGCTAGAATGGTAAAGAAGAGGAATGTGAGTTCCTGTCCTCAAGGAGCTCTCAATCTAACCTCATTCAGGGTTGCCAGGTACAGGTGTGCTAGTTGTGTACTGCATAGGAGCACCTGGCCAAAAAGATCAAGTGGGGCTGGAATTTCCCATTCCATGGGCTAAGCTGCTTTCCTCCAGAAGGGGACTGACTATGGTGATACAGTTTAGTTGGTGCCATGCCTACGGGCAACCCACGCAGCCCTCCCCCCATCTTTGACACTGACCTCTGTTAGCCCCCTCTCTGCCCATATGCATCTCTGCTAGTGCTCACAATGATACTGTGGCATGCCTAAACATGAATGCCCACGCAATGGCGGCTAAACCATGGAGTCCTATGAAACTATTCCCAACCCCTGTGTGTCCTCTGCCTTGTCCTGTTTCCATCTCAGTGGGACCATGCAAGACCAGAACACTCTGGCAGCCCCAGGTTCCTGGAGAGGTGAGGACCCTGCGGGCAGTAGGGAGGAGAGGCTTGGGAAGATCCCCTCCCAGTTCCAGAAGCCTCTCTCTCGTGCTAATTAAGCTTTTTCATAAACACTTGCCTTGTGAGTTGAGGGGAGCTGTCCCATCCAGCTGAAGGCCCTTCCAGCCTGGTCCTCTCACTTCCCCCAAGAAAAAGCTGCCGGCTCAAGGCCCACCCCTCAGGCTCAAATCCAAATCTGGGGCTTGTTAGGACCTTGGGAGACTCAAGTGAAAATTAAAGATACCTCTTCAGCAAAGTCTCTGAGCCTTGCTTTACAAAGGTCTGGAATTTCTTCTTGAGCTGAGGGAGGGCCTGAGGGGTTTGCACACTGCAGGATCCTCGGCCCTCTGGGGGCCTCTGTCCCTCTGGGTGGGGCTGCGGAGGCGGGGCTGCTGGCCTCCTTATCTCCAGAGCCAGCCTTGGCTCCCGGGCGCTCTGGCCCCTCAGTCTGGGCCCTTTGCCATGGGGTCTCTGCTCCCCCTCTTGCTGCTGCTTTTGCTGGCGGCCGCCTACCCGGGAGGCGGAAGGGCGCACCGGACCTGGAGAGCGCGGGTGCAGGGCCCGGGAGGAAGCTCCCCGGCGCCCTCAGAGACTCCAGCTGCGTTCTGGGTGCGCCTAAGGCCGGAGTTCAAGGAGGTGCAGCCGGGGGGCTCCGTGTGGCTCAACTGCAGCACTAGTTGCCCCCTGCCGGAGTACTCCAGCCTCAGCACTCAGCTGCCGCGGGGCCAAACGCACAGTGGGCCCGGCTGGGTAGCCTACCAGCTGTTGGACGTGAGAGCCTGGAGCTCCGAGGTGCGCTGCTTCGTCACCTGCGCAGGAGAAACACGGTGGGCCACGGCCAAGATCACCGCCTACAGTGAGGGACGGGGGTTCAGGCCTTGCCGGGGTGAGGGGAGGGGGACGGAAGTGGGTATTTAGAAGTAGCACTAGGGGGCGCACGCGGACCTGGCTCAGAGCGCCCCCCCCTCCGCCCCACCGCCCCTTGCTTTAGAGCGGCCGCGAAGCGTGATCCTGGAGCCTCCGCTCTTGGTGGGCAATGAGTACACTCTGCGCTGCCACGTGACGCACGTGTTCCCCGTGGGCTTCCTGGTGGTGACTCTGAGGCGCGGCGGCCGGGTCATCTACTCGGAGAACCTGAGGCGCTACAACGGCTCTGATCTGGCCAACGTGACGCTGACTTACACGGCGCCCGCCAGGCTCCGCGACTTCTGGAAACCGGTGACCTGCCACGCACGCCTCAGTCTTGATGGCCTGGTGGTCCGCAGCAGCTCGGCACCCATAACGCTGAGTGGCCTCGGTGAGGCACCTCTGCGATCCCGGGCACTGGAGGAGGGGACGGGCAGGGCACCGCGCCGGTAGCTGAGCGAGTCCCGGGGGAGCTCCCGGCGGGTGGGCCTACCTCCCTGTGCTCCATTCCTCACTCTCACCTCCCGTCCCCAGCTTGGCGTCCCGCGTCCAAAGCCTTGGCCTCCAGCTCCATCGCGGCTCTTGTGGGGATCCTTCTCGTCGTGGGGGCCGTCTACCTGCGACAATGGCCATTGGTGCACAACCAGAGTAAAGAGAGCAGGGTCTCTGCCGGCTGAGCCGGAGGAAAAAGGCATCTGGGACAATTTGGGGAACGCTGGTTCAATAAAGTCCTCCTCCGTCACCCTCTGTCTCGCGGCCTAAAGGTCCCCCAATAGGGTACCACCTCCGAGGAAGTGGCGTTCTGGTTTGCCCTTGCCTCCGTCACTTTCTCCAAGTTCCTTGTCTCTCTGAGGGCCCCTGAGGTTTCCTCATTCCCGTCCAGCTGGGGACCCGGGCGCACCAGCCCCTCCACTCCCAGACGAGTTTGGTAATATACCTCCCTTGCGGGCATTATAAGTGCGGTGCAAATGGGCATAGCTTGGGCACTGGAGGGCTTGGGCTGTGGGAGGGTTGGCTCACAGTGTGCCCCCCCCCCCCGCCCCGCATTGGCTAGGCCGCTGCAAAGCAGCAGCTCCGATTGGATGTTAAGTTTCCTTTCCCATTTCCCCCCCTCGCCCCTCCCCTTCAGACCCAGCACTTTACTGGAGGACAGGGGTGGAGCGAGAACTGACCCCCACAGTTCACCGTTAGCGCTGGCGGTGAGAGAGCAAATGGACGGGGTCACATGACACGTTGAGGGACGAAGATACGAAGAAAAGATACCCATGTTGTGACTGCGGGGAAGGAAAATTCGGATGGCCCACGTGGGGTGTCACAGACTCGCGTCCTGGCAACGTCTTGATGATCACCCGGCCTGGGGGGCACATCCAGGGGGGCGTCAAAGCTTGGGGCCCGGATGCAGGGTCGAAGTGTCATACTTGGTCTCTCGGTCTCGCGTAGACACAGAAGCCGGGCTCGCACTGGATGTCTGGGAGGGCCGGTGCGATCCGGGGCCTCGCCCACCGCGGCGAAAGCGGATTCGGGGGCGCTCCTCCGCCGCTTGCGCTCACACACGCCGCGTAGACACGTGCCCGCTGCACGCTGGGTAAATACAGACCCAGAGCAGAGCCGACCCTAATTTAGACGCCCGCGAACGCTGCGCGCACGCACACGTGTTCCCGACTCGCTGGCACTTTCTTCCCCACCCCCTCTGTCGCGTGCGGGGGCGGAGCCGGAGGGGGACTAGGGGCGTGGCTATAGCCCGCAGCTCCCCGGTCATAAGGAAAAGGATCAGTGAGGGAGGCAAACCCCACACCCTTTCCTAGAATTGTGCCTTACCCCATTCTGCTCCGCGGATCTCTCCCAACCCTCACACCAATCCCCTGCCCAAGGGCCGCAGGGGTTGGGTGGGGAAACTAACTATGGGGGCGGAGCTCTGAGTCCAGCTCATTACCACAGCATCCATGCTAGGGGTGGGGGGCGGTTGAGAAGGGCAACCCAGCAACCCCGGACCTCGGCTTCGCCGCCGAGGATGACGCGGGAGCGCGCGGTCGCCCCCAGAAGGCTCCGGGCCATGGGGCGGGCCTCCACGTAGACCCCGGGGGTCGCTTTCTCCTGCCAGCACGCCTTCGCGGAGGCCGGGAGCCTGGAGCACGCTCGCCCTCCCGCCCCCCAGCCGCCTCTGCCGCCGCCCCCTCCTTGGAAACCAAGTTACCAACGTTAAACCAATCCCGGAACGCAACTCTGCCTCCTCCACAACCCACCCGCCGCGCGGTCCTCTCGCCCAGCTCAGCGCTCGCGCTCTCCTCGCCTCCTGCGCTTCCCCCGCGGCGGCGATGCCGGGGCCTTCGCCGGGGCTGTGCCGGGCGTTGCTCGGCCTCTGGGCTGCCCTGGGCCCGGGGCTCTTCGGCCTCTCAGGTAAGAGCCGGGTCCTGGCTCAGGGTGGACAGGGCGGGGGCGGAGTTCCGGGACCAGAGAAGCGGCCACAAGCCCCTCCCAGCTCCGCCCTCGTCTCGCTCTACTCCCACGCTTCTGTCCCACCTTGAGCCCGGGCCTCTCCCTCCATCCCTCTCCCCACCAACACACAGTGGAGACCCAGCTCCCAGACTCCTCGCTCGCCCAGGTCTCTACCCTGCCCTCTTCGAGATCCTGGGTGCTCTTCCGCACCCATCTCGTGCCCTGGAGACCCCGGGTCTCCCGTGTCCCTTTCCGGGGTACCTCTCCACGCTCTGTTATGCTCCATGGTTCACGGACTGACATCCTTCTCAGTCGTGGTCCAGAAAGACCCGATTTCCCCAACTGCTGTGACTCAGAGGCGCTATTCCCGCTCCATCCCGAGCCCTGGCAAAGGAGTCCCTCCTCTGTTCCGCGGTTCCTTCCATGAGCCCAGCCTCAGTGTTCTTTCTGTGTTCTCCCGGGTTTGGGGTCCTCACTTAGCCTTGACTCAGCCTCATCTCTCTTTTGCCCTCGCCTCAACCTGTCTCCCCCTCTCCGGCAAGAACCCTGAGAACCAGTTCGTTTTCCTTCCTCCACATGAGGTCCCCTCTTCCCATCATTGCTGTGTGCGTCAAAGACCCCGTCTTTCATCTCATCACCCCTCCCCCCCCCCCATGCTTTCCCATCGCTCCATCGGCTCCTTGGAGACCAGGGCTCTCTGCTGCCATGTCCCAGAGACGCCCTCGAGGTTTGAACCCTGGGAGCGCGCCTCCAAACCTGAGGCCAGGGCAGGATGTGGGACTCCTGAGTTCCTCCTTGGCTGTGGCCTCTGCTAATTCCCCGGGAATCCCTGATTCGACATAGGGGCACAAAGATACCAGGAAGGTGGCTCCCCAGGCTGAGCCCACGTTTCCTTGGTCAGCGGTCGCGCAGGAGCCCTTTTGGGCGGACCTGCAGCCCCGCGTGGCGCTCGTGGAGCGCGGGGGATCTTTGTGGCTGAATTGCAGCACCAACTGCCCACGACCTGAGCGCGGTGGCCTGGAAACCTCGCTGCGCCGGAATGGGACCCAGAGGGGCTTGCGCTGGCTGGCGCGGCAGCTGGTGGACATCCGCGAGCCGGAGACCCAGCCCGTCTGCTTCTTCCGCTGCGCCCGGCGCACGCTGCAGGCGCGTGGGCTCATTCGCACTTTCCGTGAGTTCTCAGCGGCCACGCTCCACTCTACTAGTATTTTCCCTTCCTTCCAAGCCCCGCCCCCTGGGCCCCAGGGTCCTCCCCTTCAGGCTCCACCCCCTGGGCCCCCCAAGCTCTCTGCCTCTGGGACCCTGGGTTCCAAGCCACGTGCCTCTGAGCCCCGGCGTTTCCAAGAGCAGTGGTTCTCCCGTTGCAGAGCGACCGGATCGCGTAGAGCTGGTACCGCTGCCTACCTGGCAGCCTGTGGGCGAGAACTTCACCCTGAGCTGTAGGGTCCCGGGCGCTGGGCCTCGTGGGAGCCTCACATTGACCTTGTTGCGGGGCGCGCAGGAGCTCATCCGTCGCAGCTTCGCCGGGGAGCCACCCCGAGCGCGGGGCGCGGTGCTCACGGCTACAGTACTGGCGCGAAGGGAGGACCATGGGGCCAATTTCTCCTGCCGAGCGGAGCTGGACCTGCGGCCGCATGGCTTGGGGCTGTTTTCAAACAGCTCCGCCCCCAGAGAACTCCGAACTTTCGGTGAGTGGGTGTAGGGAGCCAAATGGGGACGAAAAGGAGTCGGGCGAGTGTTTAAGAATCTGGAGGCAAAGAAATCTGAATTACAATCCTTACTCCAAAATACACAAGGTGTAAGTTGTTTTCCTCCCTGTGCGTTGAGGATGATAGGGTAAGATAGTGCAGGTAAAGCGCTTAGTACATATGGAGTGTTTGATACATGATCTTCAAGCTCTGTTCTTCGACCCTCAGCCCTGTCTCCGGACCCCCCGCGCCTCGCTGTTCCCCGGCTCTTGGAAGTGGGCTCAGAAAGACCCGTGCGCTGCACCTTGGACGAGCTGTTTCCAGCCTCGGAGGCTGAGGTCTACCTGGCGCTGGGGGACCACAGGCTGAGTCCCGATATCACCCTGGAGGGGGACGCGCTCGTGGTCACTGCCACAGCCACAGCTAATGCAGAACAGGAGGGCGCCAGGCAGTTGGTCTGCAACGTGACCCTGGGGGGCGAGAGCCGCGAGACCCGGGAGAACGTGACCGTCTACAGTAAGAGGGAGTGAAGCGGAACGGCCGCGGCTCAGGGGTGGAGCCAGAGGAACTGGAAGGCGGGGCAAGTGATGGGCGGGGCCTTAGTATAGGAATAGCCGTGGTTCCAAGTCCCTAACGGGTGGGAAGGTTGAAGGACTGAGACTGAACAGTTGTAGAGGGAGAGTCTGAGCCGCCGCCGAAGGGAAACATCGCAAACCCGACGAGGACCCTGTAAAATTGTGGCCAGACGACCTCAAGAGGGCGGGGGAAAGGGGGCGGATCATAAGCATCCGGAGAGGCGGGGCGCGGTGCCTACGGGTGGGCGGCACTGCCGGGAGAGTTCGGGCAGATGAGGTGCAGCCTCGACCCGCAAGGAGAGGCGTGGTCGGTGGACTCCCGGCCAATGCCCCGTCCCCAGGCTTCCCCGCGCCGGTCTTGACCCTGAGCGAGCCCAGCACCCCCGAGGGGAAGGTGGTGACAGTAACTTGCGCAGCTGGACCTGAAGCCTTGGTCACACTGGACGGAATTCCAGCCGTGGTCCCGGGGCAGCCCGCCCAGCTTCAGCTAAATGCCACCGAGGACGACGACAAGCGCCGCTTCTTCTGCGACGCCAGCCTCGAGGTGGTCGGACAGACCCTAAGCAAGAACAAGAGCGCCGAACTCCGCGTCCTATGTGAGTTGGTCTTTAACCTCTCGCCTCCCTCGTGATTTCCAGCGGCCTGTCCGCTCCCTGGCCCTGCTGTGGAAGTGGGGCTTTTCCTCAAGGACCGCGTCTAGCTTCTCAGTGGCCCACGCCCCTGCCCGCAGACGCCCCTCGGCTGGATGATTCGGACTGTCCCAGGAGCTGGACGTGGCCGGAGGGCCCAGAGCAGACGCTGCGCTGCGAAGCCCGCGGAAACCCCGCGCCCTCCGTGCACTGCGAGCGGCCTGACAGCGGGGCGGTGCTGGCGCTGGGCCTGCAAGGTCCGGTCACTCGCGCTCTCGCCGGCACTTACCGCTGCACTGCGGTCAACAGCCAGGGCGAGGCAGTCAAGGAAGTGACGGTGACAGTGGAGTGTGAGTCCGGGTGCACAGGCGCATTTCTGTTTCTCAGGGTCTAGGGGTACGTAGCCTACAGGGAAGAGTGGGTCCGAAATGTGTCTTTGGGCAGGATTTTGAAAAACGGAAGAGGCTGGTAAGCGGGATTAGGGAAAGATCTTACAGAAGGAAGGAGGGGGAGAGGCAGATGTGTCCCTAAGGGTCTGCGGTGTGGCGTGTGGGCAGAATCTTGGGAAGGTTGGCTTTGCAAGGCGTTTAAAAGTTTCTAGGCCAAAGACTTGGGGACGAGCCTGTGGGTACTTTGTAGGAATCAGAAAAAAGGACTCAAAACAGCTCACCACCCTACCAGGCTAAAATCTCTTCGGTTTAGTGTCTCTGGGCAGGGCACACCCTGCCCAACCCTTTGTGGCCTCCCTCATAGGGAAAGAGGGTCTAGGGACATTAGGCCAGTCCCCAAACCTCCAACCCAACGACTCTTCCTTCTCCAGATGCCCCATCGCTGGACAGCATGGGCTGCCCAGAACACATTACATGGCTGGAAGGGACAGAGGTCTCCCTGAGCTGTATGGCGCACGGGGTCCCGCCGCCCAACGTGAGCTGTGTGCACTCTGGGGAGGCCGGGGTCGTCGAGGGCCTGCTGCGTGTGGTGCGGCAGCATGCAGGAACCTACCGCTGCGAAGCCACCAATGCTCAAGGCTCTGTGGCCAAAACTGTGGCCGTCACAGTGGAATGTGAGTGGGGACAACACGGGGCAAGATGGGGTATGTCAGGATAACCCTGGCCTGACTTCCAGTCCCTGTGTGACCTTCTGTTCCCCAGATGGCCCCAGTTTCGAGGAGCAGAGCTGCCCGAGCAATTGGACGTGGGTGGAAGGATCTGGGCAGCTGTTTTCTTGTGAGGTGGATGGAAAGCCAGAGCCAAGTGTGGAGTGCATCGGCTCAGAGGGTGCCAGTGAGGGGTTGCTGCTGCCGCTGGCCTCCCCAGACTCTCCTCCCGGAGTCCCCAGCATCGCGAGTGGACTGGCACCTGGTATCTACATTTGCAACGCCACCAACCAGCATGGCTCCATGGTCAAGACTGTCGCCGTGAGCACAGAGTGTGAGCGGGGCCGAGGCTGGCGGGGAAGTAGGGGTGGCCCAGGGTCGGGGACCCTCCCTGACGTCCCCCCATGGCTGCTTTGCAGCGCCGCCGCAAATGGATGAGTCCACCTGCCCAAGTCACCAGACGTGGCTGGAAGGGGCCGAGGCAGCAGGGCTGGCCTGCGCTGCCCGGGGTCGCCCGTCCCCACAAGTGCGCTGTTCCCGGGAGGGCGTGCCCGGGCCTCAGCGACTGCGCGTGTCCCGAGAGGATGCGGGTACCTACCGTTGCTTGGCCACCAACATGCATGGCACAGACATCCGGACGGTCACCGTGGGCGTGGAATGTGAGTGGGAGCAGCACCGCTTAGAGGACCCTCGGTTCCCAAAACGGTGACTTGCTGCAGTGGGATTGCCCAGGGCAGTTCAAGGGTAACTCCTTCAGGCCTCCCCCTCCTGGGGACAAGGATTCCCGGTCTAAACCTGAGGGTAATGAAAACTCCAGGGAACAGGCGCCCGCGCCCCCTCAAATTCTAGGTCAGAAGGGCACTGGTGCAGGTCCCCACTTCCTCTCCTTCATTAAAGCTGGACAGAGGATTTTAGTGCTGACTACGGCCGCACAGTAAGCGGAGGTGGTGGCTGGGACGGAAGGCCGGATCCCTGCCCACTCATCTGAGCAGGACTTTCCGATTGCGGTGGGCGGAAGGGCCCTTGGTCAGTGCCTGGCCCGGCTCTGAGGGGCTCCTCCATGTCCTCTGCAGACCGGCCAGTGGTGGCCGAGTTGGCAGCCTCGCCTCCCGGAGGGGTGCGGCCGGGCGGGAACTTCACGTTGACCTGCCGCGCGGAGGCCTGGCCCCCAGCCCAGATCAGCTGGCGCGCGCCCCCGGGGGCGCTCAACATCGGCCTGTCGAGCAACAACAGCACGCTGAGCGTGGCGGGCGCCATGGGCAGCCACGGCGGCGAGTACGAGTGCGCAGCCACCAACGCGCATGGGCGCCACGCGCGACGCATCACAGTGCGCGTGGCCGGTAAGTGGGAGCTGGGGGCGGGACGAGGGAATCTGCAGGGGGCGTGGCCTGCGCCTTGGGCTCCCCGCCCCCCCAACCCGGTCCTTGCTTCCCTCTCCTTCCAGGTAGATGATGGGGGCAGGGCAGAAGGCAGGGGCACCCTGACGAATGGGGCTTTGATGGCGTGTTTTGGGTGGAAGGTGGAGGAAGAGGAAACGGACTGCAGCTCAGGGGGAGGGACCCGCTAGGGCTGTGACGGCTGTGGGACGGGCTTATTAACTTGGGGTAGGTCCTGTGTGGTAAAGACCAGCCAATTCACCCTTCACTGTGCCGCTGTGGAGAACTGTTGGAGAGGACCTAGGGCAGAGGAAAGGGGTGACGGGGAAGATGGGGGTGACGGGGGTGGGGGGGTCCCACCCAGATCCCCTCCCTCCCACTTCGTGTGTCTTGGGCTTTCCGGGGTGAAGGAATGACCCGGTCCCCCCTGCCCTCATCCTCTTGGGGGTGAAGAGAGTTGGTTGACTTGGAGGTGTCCCTGAGGCTGGGGACTTCTAGCCTCATGTGCTGAAGTGATGCGTAAAACGGGTCTGGGGTCATACTAGCGCTCGGGGTAGCCTTTGGGGGCTTTCTCCTTTCCCCCATCCCACGCTGTGAGTTTCCTGGGGTTCCCTGCCAGGCCGGGGAGGACTGACATCGCCCATGGGGAGGGAACAGAGGTGGCCAGGCTTGGGAGCCTTGAGCTGGTCCACTGTCTTTGAGGGTCTCCTCCCGCAGGTCCGTGGCTGTGGGTCGCCGTGGGCGGCGCGGCGGGGGGCGCGGCCCTGCTGGCCGCTGGGGCCGGCCTGGCCTTCTACGTTCAGTCCACCGCTTGTAAGAAGGGCGAGTATAACGTGCAGGAGGCCGAAAGCTCCGGTGAGGCCGTGTGTCTCAACGGCGCAGGCGGCGGCACTGGCGGGGGCACCGGCGCTGAAGGTGGAACCGAGGCTGCGGACACCGCAGAGGCGCAGGCGGGGGGCGAGGTCTTCGCCATCCAGCTGACGTCGGCGTGAGCCGGTTCCCCTCTCCCCGCAGGCCGGGGGACGCCCCCCAGAGGCACACGGGGGCTTATTTATTGTTCTATTTATTTATGTATTTATTTATTCATTCATTTATTTATTCAATTCCAGGGGCATCACGCCCATTTTCTACCCCCCCCCAATAAAGTTTTTATAAAGGACTCTGAGTCCGTCCACTTCAGTCTCTGCCGTGAGGAAGCAACCAGAGGCTCCAGTCCCAACCCCGAGGTTATTCATACATGGACTCTTTTGTTTCTGAGGACCTGTGTGTCAGGGACGATCCAAGGCGCCTTCATGCGATGTGAGCTGGAGCGCGTTCTCTCCGTGTCCATTTTCCTGCTCTCAGCCAACCTTGGGCTGGGGTGGGGACCGCACTCCTTCCTCCAGCTCCCTGCCCCTTATCTCTTCCGCCCAGCACTGCCCTCTAACCCTGCTAACTTGTGAGGTGGGAGCTAGGTGATTCCCCCAGGCCCGGTTCCGGGCAGAGCAGAGGCTGTCTTCCCAGGATGGGTGGAGCCCCTCCCAGGGGTCTGGGCAGTGGGCTCCTATCCGGAGGTCTTGCCAGGATGAGGAAATGAGGACAGTGACTGCACTATGAGTGAGATGTCCCTCCCATTAAAGGGTTCCTCATGTTAGAGAGTGCCTCCCCGCCCCACCCTCAATGCCACCTCCACCTTGTGTCCGTCCACCGTGCCTCAGTTTACCCCAAACTACCTTTTGACTGCCTGTCACGATTCAGAGGAGATGCATGCAACCCCCTCTGCACACCACCGTCTCACTCACCCCCTGCAGCATAAGGAGAGAACAGCTGGCCTCCCCCCCACTCTGGCAGTCTCTGCCTCCCTCAAAAGCAGGAACAGAGCCCGAGAGAAGGAAGCAGTCCCGGACATCTCCCACTCTGTCAGCTGCCCTAGGCAAACATTTCCTGAGCAAAGGTAAGAACAGGAAATGGGGGATACTGGGGGACTGGGGGGTGGGAGGAACTAAAGGCCAAGCCTGTATACAGCAGGCAACAGCACAAGGATGGTGTGGCCCCTCCTGTCACACACACGCTTAACCACCTCCCTCCACTCCCACCAGCCTCTTTGAGGTTCCTTGAGTCCCACCAAGTCCAGCCTGCCACAGGGCCTTTGCTTTTGCCATTCCCTCTGCCTGGACTGTCCTCCCCTCAAAGTCCCACAGCTACTTCCTGATCCTCAGGTTTCTATACAAATGTCAGAGAGGCCTTAGCTGTCTCCCCTCAGAGAAGCCTCACTGAGGTAGCCCTCCAACCCCTTATCTCCTTATAGATTTTATTTTCATATTTTAGATATTTAATTGAGTACTTGTTTACTGCCGTTTTAGAATATTGGCTTCACTAGAGCAGGGATGTTTTTTCTAGTCACCACAAAGTGTCCCCATTGGGGCCTGGTGCACAGTACTTTCTCAATAAATGATGAATAAGTGGGTAAAAACAGCCGTGAGTTCACAGGGACACGGTCTGAGACCTTCGTGTGTTCAATGTTTATCCCCAGAGAACTCCCATGCTGGGCCGTGGGGTGGCCGATTGTGGCCTTGGACCCCTGCAGTCATGGTCCTGGTGGGAAGATGAAGGTGAATGAAATAAGCCTAAAGCAGTAGAGAACTGAAGATTCTGGTAGGTTCTAAGAGGGAGACCAGTGAGGAGCTGAACTAGAGCCTGACACAGTGTGGGAGTGGGGTATACATTTTAGATTGGGTGGTCAAGGAATGCTGCCCACCCTCCCAGTAAGGAGAGGACAGCAGCTATGGGAGACACGGGGGAGGGTGTTCTGAGCCGAGGAATGGTGGGACGGAAGGAGTCAGGGATCCGAGTACTGAGGAACTGGGCCCCACAGGCTCACCCAAGAGGGACAAAGAGGGTTTCACAGGGGCTCCCCTTCCTGGGGTGTGTGGCCAGGCAGGTCTCACTTGCAGCCACGGAGGACCACCCCCCACCCTGGCTGTATCCCGCCAGTCCTCCCAGTGAGCACTGGTACCCTGTGTGTTCTGGGGACAGCCGCAAGACTGAGCTCTGGCCAGGGCCCTCTTCTCCTACATGGCTTCTGGCTTCAGGCTAGGGACACCCTTTGGTGGGGTTAGAGAGCTCTTGGAAGAGGAAGAGGGGGCCATCGAAGGGACCACTGTGCGTGTATCACTGTGTGCCAATGTGTGTGTCACCCGGGTGTATCTTCCGTGTTGTCATGTGTATCTCATGTGTCTGCGTCAATGTGGGTTTCTGCCTAGCATGTGGTCTATGTGTCTCACGTACGTGTCAGCACATGTGGGTGTGTGTGGCTCGTATGTGAATGTGTGTCAGCCCACACACACGTATCTGTCTTGCCTTTATTTTTTTTAAGTCATCTCTACACCCAACCTGGGGCTCAAACCCACAACCCCAAGCTCAAGAGTTGTACCCTCCACCTACCGAGCCAGCCAGGCACCATGCGTGTCTGTCTTTCTGCAAGTGTTCTTTGTCTCTGCAAGGGGTAGCTGGTGCCCTATGTGGGATGTTGTGGTGAATGTGGCTAATTCTCGGGGTGGGGGGGGGCTGGTCCCTGTGTACATGGGTGTGTGTGTCCCTCAGAATCCTAATGAGAAAACATGCCCCCACATTGCTGGCACGGGGGAGGGAGGGAAATGTGCATGAGGTGGGATCCCCAAGTCACAGCGCCCTTTCTCAGAGTCGTTTGGTTCTTTATTGCTGTTGCTGTCCACAGTTGGAGTGTCACTGCTGAGAACATTTTCGGAGGGGAGGCTCAGCCCAACCTGATGGGACCAGGGGCCAGAGAGAGGGACAGTGGCCCCCCGAGACAGGGACTTTGGAGCCCGAGGCCTGGGTCTTCCACCTGGGATCCCTGAATGGGAGGGGACAGAGAAGAGGTAGGCTGGGCCCCTGAAGACCCAAGTCTTTTTCTCCCACTCCTCCCGGGAGGGCTTCTGCCCATCCCCCCCACCCTGGAGAAACTGAGTCAAGATGGGCTCAGCTGGGTGAGGAAAGGCTTACCCTTCCTGAGTCGGGCCTTGGTGGGGGCCCAGGGACAGCCCGCATCTGCCACATAACTTCTTGGGCTGCACACTTTTCCTGGGCACCAGCCAGCAGCTGGAGCAGCGGGTGCCATATTTCTTGTACCTGGGGCGGGGGTTGGAAAAACCACCATCAGAACGCAGCAGGGGCCCAGAAACTGCCGCACAGGAACCATTTTCCCCACGGCTGAGGGTTTCCCCTCCCAGAGCCCCACACCGGCTAAGCACCCAAACTCCCTCCACCCTGAGGACCTGATACCACAGGCATTGCAGAGAGGGGTCCCATCTTCAGCATCTCTCCAGAGGGGGGTCCTTTGGGTCCTACAGGAAGCACAGCACCGGGGCCCTGAAGGGGCAGAGGTTCAAGGGTGAGGGCCAGAAGCCAAGAGTCTGGGCTCACGAGGCCTGTGCAGGTGGGGCATTTTGTTAGTCGCTGCGATGGCCCCACCTGGCCCTGGGCCAGCCCTGGGTATTACCAGATCGAAGACAGAGGGAAAGCCAGAAAGGGAGACAGATGGCAAAGCTAAGCAGAGGAGGAAACCGGGGGCGGGGGTGACTCAGCCTGAGCGGAGGGAGGTGCACCATGACTCCTTCTGGATGGGTCTAAATGGGGAAGCAGGATGGGAAGAAGGAGAGGATGGGAAACTAGCCCCCCCCCGGCCATATTTATAGCTCTTAAGTCACCAGGACTCACCGAGGGCCTCGCCGCCTCCCGAGTTGGCCTCAGGACCTCTGGCAGGGCCTGCAGAGGGACCCTGAGAGCGGCTACTGCAGGCCAGGCTGGAGAGTACACAGGAGTTAGCACTGGGGAGACCTGAACCTTGTCCCAAGCAATGGCCCCTCGGATTTGGAGGGATTTGGAGCATCCCCAGGGAGGCACCTGCTGTCTGAAAGGTCTGGTCTTGCCCCCTCATCAGTAATAATAATGATAATTATGTGAAGAGGTAGGAAGTCTGGGGCCAGCCTGCCGGCTTGAGACCCCATTTCTCTAGAGACCTCAATGGTTAACTCCGGATAAGCGATCGCATTGTTTGCACCTCAGTCCCCAAATCTGCAAAATGGGCTTCACAAGGCTTCAGAGAGCCAATAGACACCTCAAGGGCCACCTGTTACTTCTCCTCGTTGTTGTTCCTGACAGGTGGTGGTCATGATCATTACTGGAGAAAACAGTAGCAGCAGCCCTTGGGATGGTCAGGCCCGTCTCATAGACGGGACCTATGCTCGGACCAGGACGTTGCGGGCTCGCTGTAGCAGGGGCCCAGACTGGTCGTAGCCTGAGCTCTGGCTCAGAGACTGGGCCGTTTGTAACGTAGGGCTGGTGTGGGGCGCCCCCCCAGTCGACGCCCAGAGGCCCCCGCCCCCCTATTATCACTGTAACTTGCAAAAGGGCGCCCTCCTCTGGGCCAGCCCCTACCTGTAGCTGGGTGTGATCTGTAGGCTGGAATCCGGCTTTAACTGAAACTTCAGGGTCACCCCCTCGAAGCGGGGGTCCACTTTCTCAGCGCCTGGGTGGGGCTTTGACTGCTTCCGGGGCCTCCTCTGGGGTAGGGCTGAGGGGGCTGCGGGAGTCTCCGGGGGCCCCGAGCTGCAGCATGGCTGGCTGACTGGGGCCTGCATGTTCTTGGCATCCCTTGCCAGAGGCGAGGGTCCCAGAATCTCCAAGGCCTTTGGCTCCCAGCAGGGCCCGAGGGCTTGGGTGTCCCGGGCAGGGGGCTGCACCAGCCCCTCTGCTGTTTCTTGGACGAAACGCAGGGCGGTGACCGAGTCCTGGCGTGCAGGCCAGAAGGACCTGGGAACAAGGGACAGGGTGGTCACCCCCAGCCCTGGGCAGCACCTATGTAGCCCTCAGAGACATGGGGGAATTGCGTGGCCTCTGACCCCCACGTGACCCCTACATGACCCCAAGGATCCCTCAGGACCAGAACTTCTTTTTAAGTGCCAGTAACTAACACTGTGACCCCTGGATAACCCCAGGAACCAGAGGTCATGACCCTTTGACCACTGGATCAGGTTCGGGGAAGGGGCCGCTCCTGAACGCACCTGCCATTGGGTCTGGGGCATCCTGGGGTCCTTGGTGCCTGCTGAGCAGGGGACGCCCGGGGCGGCTTAGGGTCCAGACACGGCGGCGCCAGCAGCTCTTGCAGCTTCGAGAAGTCTGGGACGGGTTCGGCCTCCATCACGCTCGGCCCAGTCCCACTTCCCTAGTCACGCCCGGCCCCGCCCACCCCGAGCCCCCTCGATGAGCCCCACCTGAGTGGAACAGAACGTGCCTGGTGGGGGCGCTTCTGGCAGAGGCTGCGATGAGTCCCACCTGGGGGGGGCGGGGCGAGCGGAGGGTGGGGTGGGGCTGGCAGGCAGCTCCGGGCACTCGGTTCCAAGCACCCCCACCCCCACCCCCACCCCTCCGGCCTGCCCCGGTCCCACCCCGGCAGCTCTGCTCGGGTGGTCTTCACACCCCTACAGACCAGCCTGGGTCCCTCCAAATCCCTCGGCGGCTGCGGGGGCGGGGCCTTGCCACGCGGCTGCACGTGCGCTCCGCTCCCGAGCTCTCCGGGTCGGAAGCTTCCAGGTCTCTGCCTCAATCGTCCCCCGCCCCCACCCCCATGGCCCCAGCGCTACTGTGTGTGTGGGGGGGAGATGTGGGGCTCCAGAAGATGCGGCCAGAGACCCCCCCAGGGCCTGCCCTCCCCGCCCCCCACTAAGGACACTCAAGACACTGGAGGTCCGTGAGATGGTTTTATTGTTGCTCCGGTCAGACTCCACCCTATCTCCACACTGATTCTCATGAGTTGCGGGGAGGCCTCCCCAGCAGGGCTGGGTCTCCCTGCGGCCCCCAAAACCAGAGCCTGGACATGGGATCTCTCTGAGGCAGGGGCTCTGGCCTTCTGGTTGCTTCCAGCATCTCTCTCCGGCCTGTCCATGCTCTGGGCTGGGCTGGCAACTTGGTTTTTTCTCCGGTCCCGGCTCCCCAGGGCCACGCGGCTGCCGGTGTCAGTGGGGCTTGGGGACGTGGCCGTCCACGTAGAAGTTCCTGGTGATCTTTGGCAGCGTGAATTCAGCGCCTTCCAGCTCAGGAGTCAGCACGATTTGGCAGCCCAGCCGGGAGTTTTCCTGAAGAAGGGGGGCCATGTCCAGCATGTCGTCCTCCCTGGAGTGAGAAGAGCAGTCATGGGGGGGGCGCGTTGTCCAGCTGGCAGGGGGCCCCACAGGGCAGGGAGGAGAGAGGCTGGGGCCGCTGGAGGGCCTCGGGACAGCAGGGAGGGGCGGGCCCCGCTCACCTCTCATCGGGAGGAGGCAGAAGGTCCAGGTGGTCCTCGCTCACGTACACGTGGCAGGTAGAGCAGGCCAGGGAAGCTTCACAGGCCCCTGTGGGGGACAGATGAAATGCCAGTGAGGGGCAGGGTCACGGAGGCACCATGTGGCACAGACAGAAGAGGGAAGAGACCCTTTGTTTCCCCGCTGGCCCCTTGTCCTTCAGGGGCCCGCACCGAGGACAATCCCCGCCCCCACTGATTCGAGTAGCTGTTCCCAAGCTGCGTGTACGTTTTGCAAAGGACTGTCTAGGGTGTCTCATCTCCCAAGGACCCCCCAGCAGGCTGTGGACCAGACGGTGCACACAGAACTGTAAATGAGCGTGGACTTGACTTCAGTATGGCTGAGAGGGGAATGGTCAGGCAGGGTCCCCGCAGCATGTAAGCCCTAGCCGGGACCCTGTCACTGTGCTGGGCAGACGGGCTTCCTTCTCCTTCTTGCTCCTGACGATGGACACCCCCTTCCTCAACACTCATTGTGGCAGGGGAAGAGACCAGAAAATAAGGGTTGAAAGATACAGAAGCTGGGGTTTCCGGCTTTTTCCCCCGGACGCATTCCCACCCTTTGGACTGGTCGCTAAGAACTGTGCTTGAGGATAATGTCCCTCTGGGTCTAAAATCTTCCAAGGCCTTGGGGCACCTGGGTGGCTCAGTTGTTGAATGTCTGCCTTCAGCTCAGGTCATGATCCGGGTCCTGGGGTCCAGCCCCGCATCGGGCTCCCTGCTCTATGGGAAGCCTGCTTCTCCCTCTCCCACCCACCCTCTCTTGCTGTCTCTGTCAAATAAATAAATAAAATCTTAAAAATAAATAAAACAAAACCTTCCAAGGCCTTTTCGCAGCCAGAATAAAACCAAACTCTTCAGCTCATTCCTTGAGATCCTCCCAACCCCTCACTCATTTCACTTCAGCCACGCTGGCCCCCCTGCTCAGTTCCAATGCACCACGCTCGTCCCCACCACAGGGACTCTGCCCTTGCTGTCCCCTTGCCCTAGAATGTTCTTCTCTCCACTCCTTTACCATGGCTAGAACCTTCTTGCCTTCAGGGACTCAACTGTTCCATCTCCTGTTTCTTTTTTTTTTTTTTTAAGATTTTATTTATTTGACAGACAGAGATCACAAGTAGGCAGAGAGGCAGGCAGAGAGGAGGAAGCAGGCTCCCTGCCGAGCAGAGAGCCCAATGCGGGGCTCGATCCCAGGACACCGGGACCACGACCCGAGCTGAAGGCAGAGGCCTCAACCCACCAAACCACCCAGGCGCCCCCACCCATCTCCTGTTTCTTATCCTCTCCCCACACCACCCTCCATCCCTGTCTGGCCGTGGGGACTCTAATTTCTGCACAGCGTTTACCACGATCTCAGGTTACCATCTGAATCTCTGGGTGTACCTGTGCCCCATCAATCTGGCCTGCTCTCTTGTTACTTGGCACTGAGCCTGGCAGGTGGAAGCTCAAGACATGTTATAAGCGAATGGGACAGATTTCTGTCTCTTCCACAACTTGCTGGATAATGAGGATGAAGCTGCAAGGCAGTCTCCTAACCCAGAAGAACCACCCAGGGGGACCTGGTGACTTGGCCCACCCTCCCTGCCCCCTGGAGATAAAATGTCTGGACCCTGCAGCTCCAGGCAGTCCCCAAGGAATCTCGTCCCCAGCCCCGTTTCCCACCTCAGTGGCGTCCTCATCAATGAGAGATTATCGAATACAAGAGTCCCAGCGAGGCAACGGCACACTAACCAGGGGCCGGGCATTCAGCACTAAGTGCAAGAGCAGTCCAGTGAGACAGCAAATGAACTGTCCCCTTTCATAGATGAGGCCTCAGAGGCCCAGAGAGGTCAAGGACCTTGCTCAGAGTCACAGAGCTGGTAAGAGGCAAAAGCTGAATACAGGCCACTTGCCTCTGAAACTCACGTTCCAATCTCTGTTGTGGGCTCCTAGGATTGGATTCCAGAACAGAACTTGAGGTAGGCCTGCCACGGCCAGCCCCCAACATCCCCACCCCGGATGATATTAAATCAGGCTCTGTATTACAGTCACCTCAAAAATAACCCTATCTGTTTTGTTTTTTTCCTTCTTCCAGACTGCCCTTTCCAGCTGCTCAGGATGTAATTACATGTTTACTCCTGGGATTATGGTCCCTGTGAAGTTGAAACTGACGTGAAATGACAGGGGTCTTGTCTGTTTTGTACATTGCTGCCTAACACACAGTAGCTGTTCAATATACACAGAAGAGCGGCACTGATCAGTGGCTAAAATAAGCGGGCTTTGCATCTAGTTTTGCCACTTACTTGACCTTGAAGCATGTCAATTTAACCTGGGGCTGCTTCCTCACCTATAAAATGAAATAACAGTCTCCCTTATCACTTAACCTTGTCATGAAGATTCAGTCAGTCAGAGGTATTTAATGCGCTTAACATAATGTCTGCTATGATTATCTTTTATTCAGCAAATACAGATTTAATACCGGTTACATCTAAATAACATGACAGGCAACCGGTAAGTAGCACCACGGTTTCTGATCTCATTCTGAGGATAGGTGACAAAAATGAAACAAGACACTGAGAAGTGCTAGGAAGACAATAAAGCACACTGAGGTGATGGAGGGTCTGGGGCTGAGGGTTTCAGCTGGGCTGAGGGGATGAGATTGTCAAGAATGAGACCCAATGGATGAGGTGGAGCCAGAAGTTCTGGTGGGAAAGCACTTCAGATGTCTGGAGCAGGAAATGCAAAAGCCCTGAAGCAGGAATGAACTTGGCTTTTTCGTTTGAGCAACCAGCAAGAAAGCCAGTTTGCCTAGATTATAAAGAGGAAGGAGAAAATACAAGCTTCTGGAGAGCAGGAATTTTACTGACCTCTAAGAAATGCTCAATAAATTGCTGCTGAGAGAGTGAAGGGTCAGAGCTGGTCAGGGTTTGAGCCATGGTGAAGAGTCTAGATATTAGCCACGTTTGATGGGAAGCCACGGGAGGGTTAAGTAACGGAGAACATTATCTGATTTGCAGGGTTTTTAAAACAATGGGTAAGGGCCTCCCCAATTCCCAGTGCCGGGTTCCCACCTTCCAGGTCCACTCCATGGCGCTGGGCCAGGTGGAGCACATTGTCCCCCACTCTGCCGCTCACCGGAATCCGCTGGCCTGACCGGTCTACGAACACCACGTTCACCCTGGGGACAGATCGGGGTGCAGATACCAAACCTGATGGTGGGCGCGGTGAGCAGGTAATGTCTACGTTTGGTTCCCCTCCCCTTGACTGCCAGGGGAATAGGACGAGGAAGAGGGAGGACACAGAGATGAGGCTGCAGGGCAAGGTGGGGACCAGAGGAGCCTCGTGGGATAAAGAACAGGGGACTTGGCCCCCTACACTCACACGTCCCCGGGCCGGTCGGGGCCGCCAGCTTCTTCTTCCCCCGCCGGGCGCGAGCCTGGAAAACACAGTTGGGTGAGCGGCCGCGGCGCGCCTCGCAGGCGTCTGGCGGATTAGCGCTGTCCCCCAAAACGCCCCAGGTACCTGTCGCTCGGAATCTTCTGGCTGTCACTGGCGCCGCTGCCTCCCCAGACCCCCAGGAGCCCCCAGGCCGGCTCCACCAGGATCCCCTGGCCGCCCGCAGCAGAAATCCAGCACTCACGCCTCCCCGGGCCACGGAGGCGGCCATGACAGGCATCACGTGACCCGGGACTGGGCATGCCCAGTGGCAGCCTCGCAACCCAAGAGGCCCGTAATTGCCCGAATACAAGCACTGTCGTTTGAGTGGGACGTGTGCCAGGAAGGACTCCAAGGAAGGGACTGCCAGAGTGCGAGAGAGCCAGGCAGGCTCGCCCCCACAAAAGAACTGCGGGGCCATCCCCGACTACCCACCCAGGCCCACTGTTCGTCCCAAGAACCAGCCAGCTCTGCTTTCTTTAAAACCATTTACTTACAAACTTTAATTCAGCAAAGGAAGGTCTGTGAGGGAGGACTGGGGAGACGACACCCCCCTGGAGTGGATGTGGACCCCCCAGAGTCAGGGGAGGAAAGCTGGTGGCCCAGCCGGCCAGGAGGGTCCAGGCCGACAGGTCCTGCTGGTGGGCAGGGGCAGAGCTTATCTGCATGAAGTTGCTGGACTGGGCACTGGGCCAACAGAAGGCCAGGAGGCCAGCTCCAGGTGATCTAGCCTGGGGATGGAGAGGCGGAGCTCATCTTCAACATGGGGGTAGTGGGGGAGGGGGTAGACAGCAGAGGCTCAGTGAGATGCACAATACCCGACTCCCACAGACTGACAGCAAGACTGGTTTAAGCTGGCAGAGAAAACCTGTCTCTGCACCTAGGCCTGGGCAGGAAGGATGATAGGGTTGTTTTGCCAAGACCAAGGCTTTGGCCTTCTACTGTCCTCAGAGTGGGGACCCTGGGTAGAGGGGCCCAATCCCCAGGCCAGAGCCATTTGGTCCTGAGTCAAGCTTCTGGAGCTCGGCATCTAAGAGGCTCTGACCGCAGGGCCTGGGACCCGGCTTTAAGGCATCAGAAGGCAAGGGAACAGTGGCAGGGGCCTAGGGCCCCCCAGCTGGAATACAGGCTAGAGTGGGCAGGCAGGGGCAGGACACAGCCATGCCTGCAGCAGACATGAGAGAAAGAGGGCTGAGCCATTTCAAACCGAAAAGAGTGGAATGAAGGCCCAGACATGCTGGACCTTGAAGGAATCAGAGCTGGGGGTCGTCCTGGATTGTTTAAAAAATAATACAAATTAGAAAAGGAAACAAAAGTCAATTGTCAAAGTTAAAAAAGGGGGACAGTCTCTGATCCTCACGGGAGGTCAGGGGAACCTCCAAGGCACTCGAAAGGCCAAAATACAGGAGTGACGAGGCAGGAGAGGACTCCCAGAGAGACAGACACAGGTGGATATGGGGGAGGGGACAGAGAGCAGGCGAGGGCCCCTCTCTCTTAAGGCTGTAGAGTTTCCATGCCGGGAGCAGGCCAGAGGTGCACAGCGGCCCCCAGACTCCCCCACACTCCTTGGGTTCCGGCTGGTGGGTCAACAAAGTCTTTCAGAGATTTTTCTATTACTGAAAGGGGGAAAGAAAAAACACAAACAGAACACCAGAAAACCCAAAAGCGATTTGGTGCAGGCCCTTGAGCATCTCTGGCACTGGCCCCCTAGAAAATCCTCTTGCGCTTCAGGTAGGAATCTGCGTAGTGGCCCCCAAGGCCCTGGGAGTGCTGGCCCACGTAGCTGCCTTCGGGGCTGGGCTCAGGTGAGGGCAACAGGTGGGCAAAGCTGCGTTTCTGGCCACCCAGTGGGGTCTAGAGACAGAGGGGAGGGGGTGGCAAGTCAGGGGCCATCCAGGGGCCACTGCTCCCCAGCCTGGTATGTCCTCGCTGCCACCCCACCCCACCTCATGACCCGTACCTTCAGCAGGTGGCTGTGGCCATTGGGCCCGGGACCGAGTCCCAGGAGCCCTTCTCCGGAGCCCAGTGGAGAGGAGCCGACCGCCTGGGAGACATGGGAGAAAGATGGAATGGGAGAGGAAGCGGTCCCCAAGGGCCAAGGGAAGGGTTTTTTGGCTCAAATCCTGCCTCTGCCACTCATCAGCTAGGAAACCAGGGGAGGAGGAGTTCTTTTTTTGTGAGCCTGTTTCGTCCTCTGTCTACTGGGGCTAATATCGCCCACACCATAGGCCACTGGAGAGGGAGTGAAAGGTGACCAGGAAGGCTGGATATTAGGGGCAAGACAATGCAGGTGTGGGGAGGATGGCTTGTTTGAGCTCGGCCCTGCCCAGAACCCCACTCTGCCACCACCTCAGCCAGGGCCCAGGCACCAAAGGTCACAGGAGCCTCTGCATTCTGGCTGTCCCTGGGGAAATTGGTGGCTGGGGAAGCTCCTCACCTTGTTAAGGTGGCTCTGCTTGAGGCCAGCCTGCAGGCCACTGGTGAAGTAGGAAGTGGGCGAGCCCGAATAGAAGTGGGAGAGGGGTCCCCCACCGCCCCCGCCGGTCCGTTCTCCGAAACCACTGGGTGGGGGGGACATCTGCAGAGAGGGGGTGGGCCGAATGAAAGAGAGGACTGAAGTTCCACTTGCTTTTGCAGACCCTCCGAAAGGCCCCCCCACCCGCTCCCTGGACACCGAAATGCCCCCTGCACCGGTGACTAGCTTTGGCCACTGGGACGAGCAGCATCATGGTAAAGGCAGAGGGGCCTGGCCTCCCTGCTTCCTCTGGGGAGTCCCAGGGCCACCACCACCATACGTGGGCTGCCCTCACAGGGTGGTATGCTGGAGAACAAGCTCCGGGGGCTGGTCATCGTCCCAGCTGAGCCCCCCCACCACCCCGCCCAGTAACTGCTAGGTATGTGACTAAAACCAATGCAGATGACCGAGCCCCAGCTGAGCCACCAGGGAACCACCCGCCGGCCTCCGCGACGGAGAAATCAAGTATCTGCTGTTCTGAGCCACCAAGTGGTGGGGCTGCTTGTTATGCGGGAAGAGCTAACTGATACACCCAGGAGGCAAGCTGGCCAGGGCAGCCCTTACTTTGTGTCGGCTGGGTCTGTGAGGCCCTAGTGTGGGTTCCCGTGGATGGGAGAAGAGACGCCGAGGTCCCACATCCTAAAGGAAAGGGGGAGAAGCATGTTGGGTTGGAGTCCGTGCCAGCCTCACCCCTGGCTGAGTTCCAGGGCACTGCTGCTCCTGGGTAAGTCTGGCCCCCTCCAGCAGGAGGCACACTCGACTGTCTGTGGGCAACTTCCAAGTGCAGGCTGGGCGGCTGGAAGGAGACAGGGTGTGCGCCCCACAGCAGGGAGGGCTTCCACATCGGCCCTGGAGGCGGCTGCTGTGAAGGCGTGTGGCCCCCGTGTGGGAAGGTGTTTACAGTGTTTCAGGAGCAGCTGCCCATCTGGGGTGTGTGAGGTCTTTTCTACGTTAGTGTCGACATTTCTCTCAGTTGTTATTTGTTTTTAACCCAGCGTGGGCCAAACAACACAGGGGGCCTGCCAGTGGCCAGGCTCCAATGGCTGACCGGGATGGGGGGCTGGGATCACGGAAGGAGCAGCTCTCCAGGGACAGGGACAGGAGTCGGAAAAGGGAGAGGACAGAGAAACCAACAGGACACCGCGCCTTGTCTCTAAGAGCCAGAAGCACAGCCTAACGCCTCTCAGGAGAGACAGACAGACAGGAAGCAGGTCTGATGTGCAGAGACAGACCTGTGACTCGGGGCAGGGACTGTGTGGCACCTTTCCCACAATCTCCCTAGTGCTCGCCTGGCCATCAGCACTCGAGAAATAACGCTCTGGAGAATGACCTCCTCTAAGGGGACAAAGGGCCACAGCAGCGGCCCCCGGGAGGGCTGACCACACAGCGGCTAGGTACTCACCGAGGGGTAGTCGAAACCACAGCTGTCAGGCAGCCCTGGTTCAGGGGGCAGGCGGGTGCTGGCCAGAGGGCTGAGCAGGCGGGACTTGAGCTGGAAGGCTTTGCTGCTGCCGCCGCCGCCGCCGCCGCCACCTCCAGGGGCTGGGGGGTTAGGCAGGTGGCCCTCAGCCGGGCGGCGGCTTCTCCCTGTGCCTCCCCAGCCCCGGGCCTCCTTACCCGCCAGGTTGCTGGCCGGGAGTAGGCTGTGTAGGTTCAGGTAGGGATTCAGGGGGATCCGGAAGTCCTTTGGGGGTTCCCCCAGCAGCGAGACCTGTGGTGGAAGAGCTGGATTCTTGAGGGTCCCTGGCAGGCGGGGTCTGGCAGGGCAGGAGGCCAGATTGGTACTGGGTACAGGGTGGGGCCTTACCCCGGGGGGGTGCTGGCAGAGGTCCACTGTCTTTCTGGAGGCTCCTAAGGCCGGCGCCTCGGAGTCCCACTGGGACCGGGGGTGGAGTGAGCTGGGCTGCTGGGGGACCCAGGCCTATGGCTTCCCGGTCACCGGCAGAGGGGCCAAGGAGTGGTGGCAGCAGAGGTGGTGGCTTCCCTCGCCGGGGCGGCAGCTCTGGGGGCAGGGCCCCCCCTGCAGGGAGAAGGAGGTATTGGCGCCCAACTGGAAAGGACCCATCTTCCGGGGGTCCTGGGCCTCTGCTAGGACTGGGACTAGCAGGTATTCGGTGAGCACTGCGGAGAGCCCTCTAAGCATGTCACCTCCCGGGATCCTTCCAGCCACCCTGGGAGGCAGGGGCCCAACTGACGGCTGGGGCCACTGAGACCCAGAGAGAGATGGGGTCATCCACCCACACCCGGTAAGGAAAGGGGCTCAGAAAGGGGGAGAGGGAACGGGTCCAGAAAGATGAGGAGGGGCAGGGTCTGTGTTACCTGCAGGCAGTTCCCCGAGGAGGGGGTTGGCCGGCTGGGCCCCAGGCTGAAGGGTGCCCAGGGGAGAGTCCCCCAGGATCCCAGGCTTCTGGAGACAGAGCACAATCAGCTGGAGATGGGCCATCGTGGCCCAGGCAGGAGGCAGGGGTCACCACACCCAGCACGCCCAGACTCCAGGCCCAGCCAGTCACAGGCACACACGGACATGGGCTCCCACATCCCAGCCGTCACCCTTCCAGCCACCCAGTGGTGACAGAGCGCCTCCGGCACACCAGGCCCTGGGAAGACCCCAGGGACATGCACCTTACGCTCAAGGTGTCAGGGCCCATGACCCCGCACTGCCAGCCACCGTCAGACACACATAAGATGACGGTCCTTCACAGGCACACACTGTCCCACACCCGGTCCCCTTGCTCATTATCACGGAAGCACAGTATCCAACACAGGTAACAGCCACACGTGGAGCCACTTTCAGCCCCACAAGCCCCTGAGGCCATCAGTGATGGTCAGACACCCCCACGTCACTGACTTGACCCTAATGAACCAAACCGGGTAGGTTAGCAGCATGTGTGTGTGTGTACGTGTGTGTGTGTGTACGGGTGCGTGTGTGTGTACGGGTGCGTGTGTGTGTACGTGTGTGTGTGTGTACGGGTGCGTGTGTGTGTACGGGTGCGTGTGTGTACGTGTACGTGTGCGTGTGTGTGTACGGGTATGGGTGCGTGTGTGTGTATATACGGGTGTGTGTGTGTGCGGGTGTGTGTGTGTGTGCGGGTGTGTGTGTGTGCGGGTGTGTGTGTGTATATATACGGGTGTGTGTGTGTGTACGGGTGTGTGTGTGTGTATGGGTGTGTATGTGTACAGGTGTGTGTGTGTATCTTGGTCTGTACGGGTCTCTGTGTCTGTGCGTTGAGAAGGTAGGAGTGAGACACCAGCAAGCGACTCCTGTGAAGCCTGGACTTTCTCTCCCAGACTGCGTCATCGCCAGAGTCCTGAGCACCTGTCTTCACCCCACCGATGACAAGCCACTGGCAGATGTGACCGGGGTGTGACGTGGACCAACATGGGGCTGGGGCGTGTGTATGGTTACGGAGGGCCCAGGGCCCCGGGCCGTGCAGTTACCTTCTGATTCTGGGTCTGCAGGGCGAGCTGCAGCAGCGCCGTGGACAGGGCGGGCCCATTGAGCAGTGGCACGGCCGGCGGTGCGCCCAGGAGGCCTGGGGAGATCGGGAAGTGAGGGCAAACCCAGGATGGAAACACCTGCCCCAGTGAAGCACAGCCCCGGGCTTGAAGCTCCCTGAAAGCAACCGACGTCCCCCAAAAGAGGGCCAGGAGAGTGTGCCGCAGGGAGGGATGGCCCTTTCACTAGCCTGCCTCTCTGCAGCTAGCACCTGCTCCCTCTGTGGTGCTGTCCTCCAGCCCCTGCTCACGGGCTCGAGTCACTTAGCGGTTGGATGGGAAAACAGTCCACAGAGGCGCCGGGTTCCGAGACAGCTGGGGACCCTGGCCGCCACTTTGCCTGGCCCCACCTTACCCTGCTTGCCCCCTGCACTGCCGTGGAGCAGGGGGTTCAACAGCAGCTGGAGGGAGGCGGAGGGCCCCAGGTTGTTGAGCAGCTGCAGGAGGTTGGGCTCGGGCAGGAGCCCTTTGCCCCGATTGAGGGCCTGCAGAGAGAGAGGGAAGAGCAGCTCAGAGCCCCGCCCGGCCGCAGGGACGCGGGCTCACCCGTCCCTCTCATCCTGAGTCCAGCTGACACCCTGACTTTTCCAGAGAGGAGGGTCTGGCCCCTGGGTGCCCCACCCCCAGCCCCGGGGGCGCACCTCCCAGGCAGGCACTCACCGTGGCCTGCGCAGCGATGAGCGCAGCCAGCATGCTGCGGCCGGGGGGCCCGGGGGCACAGAAGGAGACGCGCAAGTGACTGCCCCCCAGCGCCAGGCCATCCGCCCGCTGCTGTGCCTCTTCAGCCATCTCCGCCGTCTCGTACTCCAGCACGGCGAAGCCCTTCAGCTGCCCATCCTGGCCGTACGCCAGCTGGCGGGGGGTGGGGGGTCGGGCGTGGGGAGGAAGACGTGAGCACCCAAGTGGCAGTGGCCGCCCTCATGTGAAGTGACAACAGTGACCAGACTTGGCTCCTCGTGACAGTGAACCTCCCCAGACAGGGTGGATTTTTAGCCCTATACTCTTCTGAGCCCTGTTCTTGCACCAGCTCATCGAATCTTCTGGATGGCCCTAGGAGGCTGCATCCTACCCATTTTTCAGAGCGGACAACTGAAGTTCAGAGGTCGACATGCCCAAGGTCACGCAGCTGGCAAGAGCGCAAAGCTGAGATCCACCTCGCATGGGTCAAGTCCCCTGGGCCTCAGACCAGCGCCACCTGGGGACTCTGATGGGGACCGTGAAGCACACAAAGGCGCAGGGAGGCGGAGTTACAGAGCTGTGAAGGGGTGCTGGGGGGAGGAGAGACGGGTGGCTCTGACAGCGCTCCACTGAGCCTCAGGTTGAAGACACACAGCCAGGGCTGGAGAGGAAGGACACAGCTTGTGGGTGAAACACGTGGCCTCCAAGCTCAGGTTCAAGACCAGATGTGCCAGTTGAGAGGGAAGTCATACAGCCAGTCAGGGCCCTCCTCCGCTCCTGACAGCGGCCTGTGGGTTAGGCCCACAGCCCCTTATGCAGACTCTGGGTCAGATGCGCCCCGGGATGGAGACGTTTTTGGAGACAGGGAGGATGCCGCATGTGCTGTGTGTCACGTGTCTGCTCCCCCACCACCCGGGTCTGTCTCTGCAGCAAGACACAAAGATAAAGGCCACGGGTGCCCCCCCCCCGCCCCCGTCAGGTCAGGTCAGCTGTACAACCATGTGAGCCCGCCACCTGCTCAGGGAACGAATGGGCACGGTGGGTGCTGTCCCAGGGCAGGCAGATCCCCGGCGAGCACCCGGTCAGACTGTGCCCGCCACAGGCTGGGTGCCACGGGGGCTGTCCCAACACGTCGCAGAGCCTGGCACGGGCAGCGCTCCCACTCTGCAGGGGAGGAAACGGGTTTGGACAAGGGCAGTCCCTGGCCCGGGCCACAGAGCCGGAGCTGGGAGCAGACAAGGCCATGCTGCTGCCCTCAAGAAACCACCTCCGGGCGCCTCTGGCCGTTTCAAGAAACAGCGATGCTCCTTGGTCCCCAGCGATGCACGTCCATCCACAGAGGACAGCAGGCCCCACGAAACGAATATGGGGCATCCCTGACAGCAGTGAGAAAGCTCTCTCGTGTCTGAGCATGAAAATATGCCTGAGACCGAGCGGAAGAACCAAAACGAAGCAGGCCCGGCCGTATCTGGGTCAGGCAGAGGGCAGCGCAAGGACATCCGCACGCACTGCTTGAAATGCGAGGTAGAATCTCGCCGGAAGGAGACACCACAACCGGCTCTGAGCAGGGGCTGCGGGCAAAGCCGCCTTCACCACTGACTTTTCTGCACCTGCTGAATTTCCAAACAGGACTGGCCTGCCCATTCGCAAAAATAAATAAAACGGAGGAGGCTTCTGACAACACCCAGAGCCTTGGGATACCTGCTTTATTCGCGTCTACAGCACTGCTGGAGACCGGCCCGTGAGGGGCTGGCAGAGCGCGCAGAGCGGGCTGCTAGGGCGCTGCCTGATGGGCTCAGCTTGGCGATGCTGAGAACGACGCTCCCCACCAGGACGGCCAGTTCCCAGCTCTGCGTCCCGCCTTCTTGAAAGGTGAGGGTGCCCCGCTCAGGATTGGGGGACCCAGGGGTCAGCTGCTGGACCTCGACCCCCAGGCCCCTCTTACTGGCAGGCTGGTGTGGGCACATCACTGCACATGCCCAGCCCTGGGCCTCACTCTCCTCATCTGTGACCTGGGGCCAAACGAACCCACCTCTAAGGGTGGTTGTGGGGATTCAAGGAGACACTCCTCCCCGGGGGCAAGGAAGGACGGTGCTCTCAGCATGCCCCCGCTCTGGGTGCCCAGGTAGGGGGGATCCGGCCGTCAGCCTGCCTCTACTGAGCACTTTAGCTTTGCCTCTGACCAAGGCCCAGACGCACATCTTCTAACAACATGTGCCATCTTGCAGGGGAAGAGAGGGAGGGGTCAAAGGGCAAGCGAGGCTTCACGGCTCCTAGAGAGGGAGAGTAAGGCTCAAACCTCAACGTGCCCCACTCCTGAGCCCGGCCTCCATTCAACCAGGACACGTACTCTAAGTGGAACCATGAACAAGGAGCCATTTACAATAACCCAATCACAAAGCACTGCTAGCCCCATTTCCAGACGGGGAAACTGAGGCTCGGAGTGAGAACTGATCATTGGTCACAGCCCTGTTGTCCCACCCCCGCAAGACAGGACAGAGCTGCCAAGCTAAGTCATCTGTGTCCTGAGCCCCCGACCCGGACCTAGCATGTGGCAGGTACGCCACGGAAGGCAGCAGCGCGACCAAATGCAGAGTGAGCGAGGAGCGGGCTTCCTAAGACAGTGGAGTCCCCAGGCCCCAACATTCCATTTACACGAGGGAAGCGGGAGCCACCCCTGTCCACAGAACTGGGGGGATCTGGGGTTAGAGCCTGTACGGCAGCTCCGTCAGGCTGCCTGGGGGTCCCTGGAGCCAGGCTGCGGCCTTCCAATCCTGGCCATGCCACGCCCTCCCTGGCTGTACAGCCCTCCGCAGGGCACTTGAACTTGTGCCGCCTGAAAATGGGGTTATTATCTGCCTCCGTGGGCTGTTCTAGGATGAAGGGATTCTCAGCAACGCTCTCAGTGGGTACTGAAGGAGTGCCTACGCGGGGCTCTGTGGGTAAGAGGAGTGGGTCTGGCCTGCTCTCACGCCACCGTGCCTGTCACAGGGCCAGGCATGCACACCGGAGTGCATGACACATGCCACTCGGATGAAACAGACACTGTTCTGCCGACCTGACGTGAGTGCCGAATCCCTTTTTATGGAGGGAGACTGTGACTCAGAGAGTGACTGACTTGCTCAAAGCCACAGGGCAGGGCTGGAATTCAGCCAAGCCCGACGTCCTGACTTCCAGGCTCACACGGGACTGTGGCCGTCTCCGGACAGCCTCCCCAAGGCCAGACCTGGGAGCCACGAGGCCCCTCTGCAAACGTCTGAGGAACATGGGAATGGGAGAGAGAGGTGACCAGCTCGCACCCAGCTTTCTCAAAGGCGGCCTCACCTGCACTTGATAGGAGGTTCAAGGCCACCAAGGTTCAGCAAGTTGCTAAAGGGTGCCCAGGGATCTGAACCCCAGCCATCTGGCTCTGGGCTGGGCTGTCACCCACTACACCACGTGGCCTTTCTAACAAGAACCCCATTCAAAGTGGCACCGCCGCTGCTTTACTGAAAAGGGACCCAGGAGATTAGAAAAAGCAGGTGACTCCAAAGGGCCCCTCCGAGGCGCTCTGTCCCTGGTCCCGACCCCCCAGGCCCCTGTACCAGGCCCAGGGCTCACCTGGCAGAAGGTGGGCGTGTGGACCGCCGACAGCGCCCGGCGCAGGGCGTCCACGTCGCTAAAGCCGGGGGGCAGGCGGTCGACACAGAGGCAGCGGGAGTGCAGCAGCACGGGGGTCAGCTGCCCGGCGTCCGTCCAGTGCACGTAGAGGGTGCGCGGGCCCAGCGGCTTGCCTAGCAGGTCCGACTTGGCGCGAGCAGCCGAGTCCTTCTTCATGTACTCCGCGAAGCCGTAGCCCTTGGAGTGGCCGGTGCGCTCGCTGTAGACCAGGAAGCAGCGCTCCAGGCTGCCGAAGGGCCGCACCAGCTCCTCGAACTGCTGCTGCGTGAAGCTGGGGGGCAGGTTGGCCACGCACAGCAGCGCGTCCGTGGGCTGCAGCTGCACCGACAGCTCGCGCTCCCGCAGGCGGCTCTGGTGGAAGGCGCTGATGGCAGCCTCTGCCTGCTCCCCGTTCAGCAGGGTCACGAAGGCTGCGGCGGAAGGGGGTGCAGGCTCAGGAGGCACCCTGAGGGGCAAGCCCACCCCCCCATACCTTGCGTTGACCTCAGAATACCTAACAACCAGGACGTGTCAGAGACCGGCCCGCTAAGGGAATGTCTGGCAGCCTTGAGGTCTGGCTACAGGGGCCTCCTGCCTCCCTGAGCCCTGCTCCCTGCTCTGTCCCCAATCCCCACCCACAGCAGGGCTCACCCACTGTGTGCCTTGCTGGGTCTAACTCGGGGGCTGTGTGGCAGTGGTTCAGGATGTAGTCGCTGGGGCCTGGGCTTCCACTCCAGCCCCTGAATGGCTCTGGGGAGCTCTGGGGTCTCAGTTTCTTCATGGGAAACGAGAGAACTTACTCCTGGCCACCCCCGTTAGGCCAGCAAGGAAACAGGTCCAGAGCAGGGCCCCCTGCCCCCATCGAGGAGCCTGGACTTGAACCCAGGCAGGCAAGCCCCAGTGCCCTGCTCTGCACCCTTCCTTTACCACCTTTCTAGGCCACCAACACCTCTCATATCCAGTCCCACCGCCATGCCTCATTTGCTCTCCACCCAGCAGTGACAGGGAGCCTTTCAAAAGGATAATCAGATGGCATCGCGTCCCTGTCTAGGGGTTGGTTTCTCATTACAGGGACCAGTGGATCCTGTGTGGCCTGGCCCACTGGCCTAGCTGACCTCCTCTCCCATCTCTTCACTACTACTTCCTGGACTGTGCCACGCCCACTCGGCCGCGGACCTTTGCTCCCGCTTACCCTGAGCCTGGAAGCCGGACCTCCATGCTGCTTTGCCTGGTTAACCCGACCTGCCCTTCAAACATCACTTCCCCACAAAGCCTAGCCTGACTTCTCCTGTTGCACATCTGGAGCTTCTGGTCGTGTGTGTGTGTGCGTGTGTGTGTATGCATGCACGTGTGCAAACCTCCATGTTTGTAGCTGTTTGAGTAACACCCTTGTCTGCAGACTAGACTGTTCTCCACTCGGTTAACAGTTATGTATCCGGTACCTGGCATACAACATTCAGTGACCACTGCTGGAAGATTCTATCAATGAGAATGTCAGTTAACCTCTGGATCCCTGATGCCCGGCACACACACATACTAGGTGCTCAGTAAATACTTTTGATGCACTGCCTCTACCAATATTAATAAGCACCCATTAGGTGCCAGGCACCCCCAGCTTTTTAGGTATTTTAACAGGTTTGGCCTCATGGCTAACCCAAGCAGGTCATGCCCAATTTGCAGGTGAGAAAACTGAGGCTCCAGAGGGTAAATCACTTGCCTGGGGCCACAGAGGGTGGCCAGACCAGGACCTGAACCCAGGTCCATTTGCCTCCTGCACCCAAGATCTGAACAACCTTCCTAGCCTGCCAGGTGGGTAGCAAGGAGTTACCTGTCCTCAGCTCCTCACCCATCTTACACACTGCAAGAAAAGGCCCCAGAAGATTTAACACTGGCACAATGCCTGGCAGGCAAAGACACCCACAGAGAGCCTCCCATGCCTGGTGGGCAGGGGGGAGAGGGAGCGCCAAGGCTGACAAGACCCCTCCTTGTTCTCATGGAGCCAGCCACGAAGTGTAGGAGGCAGGTGAGTGAGAGAGCGACAAGAGCCCAGCGTGACAGTGCTATGGTGGGCGGGGCGTTCGAGGCACAACGCGGAGCTGCCCGATGCCGCCCGGATAGCACAGTGGACAGCTAAGAGCACTGGCAGAGGGAACAGCTGGGAACATGATGGGTGCCCAGGGGGACGGTGAGGCGGGGCCCATCCCTGCACCGTAGTGTCAGCAGGAGCCTCAGAGATGTTGAAGAGAAAGAAGAACAATGAAGGTTAGGCCTGGATTTGGTCAGATTTTCAACTGGATCAGGGCTGGCTACTGGGGGGAAGGCATGAAATCATAGAGGCGGACGGATCAGAGGGAAGCTGCCTTTTTGGCAGAGATGGAGGGAGCATGGGTCAGATGGAAATTGAGGGAATTAAGGGATGCCAACTGTTCTGGAGGACTTGAAGGAGAAAGCCAGACTAGGCCTGGGTGACTGGCTGGCTGGGGGGAATGGCGTGGGCAAGTGGGGAGCCCAGTGTTCAGGTATCTGGCTAGGCAGCCCAGGGGAGGAAGGCCAAGGCTGCTCCACAATGGGCACCCAGGATGAGAGGCAGAGTGGGACAATAGTCTGTCCTGTATGGCCTAGGGGACAATGTTGGGCCTGAGGTTCAGGACAGGAATTGTTGGGCCTAGACCCTCCCAGTTTCAGGGACTGTCACCTCCTGCCACTAGCCCAACCCACAGCCCCACAAACCTGTCCCTTTGTATTTGTCCACAAAACAGTACTTGAGCTCATAGTCGCTGAGCAGATCGTGCACTTCCTGTGGAGACAGAAGCCAAAGGATAGAGTCACCAGGGGCTGAAGGCACCCACCCAGAGCCACCTCCACATGGACCAGCTATGAAAGCAGATCAGTCAGCATCCCCATCTCACAAACGAGGGAACACTCACAGCCAGGATTCAGAGCCTAGCTGCAGACTCCATGCTTTGAACTAACACAACACAACTGAAGAGTCAGACGGGTCTGAGTTCAAGACCCAGGTCTGCTGTATGTCCTTAGGGAAGTTAACTTCAATCCACCTCAACCTCTGTTTGCAAGTCTGACTCTTTCCAACATCCCAACAAATTGGGCATTAACCCATTTTGTAGATGAAGAAACTGAGGCTCAGGGATGCAAAGAAACATGTCGTAGGTCATGCAGCTGGTCAGGGCAGCAGAGAGAATGCCAGCCAGGGGGTACCTAACTGGGGACTCTGTGTACTTAATAAGACCACAGTGCATAGCTTCACATGCCTCCCAACTCCCTCCTGCTGACAGGGCTGGCCTTCTGGTAAGCTAGCTTCCTGGGAAAACTCTGGGGCCTGCTACTGCCAGACACACACCATGCACCCTGAAGGAGATAGAGTGTTCCCAGCTGAGAGATGGTAGGTATTAGGAGAGCCAGCTCTGGGAAAAAAACAGACCATGCTTAGTGGCACCTGCCCCAGGTCTGTCCTCAAGTTGGCCCCTCACCACACTCTGAGACCCCACCAGCCATGCGCCTACTCGTGGTTAGGGAGAGTCAGTGGTAGATGTGCACGTGGGTCAGAGAGCAGAGATTTCTCAGCAGCAGGGAGAAAGAACCCATCCCACTGTGGCAGGGCAGGGCAGACTAGATGCAATCCTTGGGTCCAAAGAGCACTGGGAAGCCCTACCCCATGTAGGCCCCAAAAGAAGGGCAGCCCTGGCCAGACCGGTCAAGGGAGGGGTCACAGAACAGTGGGGGAGACCTGCAGGTCTGTGAGCTGGGGGAACTAGACTCCTATTTTTCCAAATTAATCCAGAAGCATTAGGGGAAGAAAGACCCCAGGAGCTACTACCACTTCCGGATGACGCAGAGGGGTCGATAAATGTGTGCTATGGAAAGGCATAATCCAGTGAACCCTGAAACTTCTGGATACATCCCGCCTACCCATGGTAGAGGGGGTGGGGCAATACACGATTAGAGCAGGGAGCAACTGCCATCCCTACTTCCAGTCCCAACATAGCAGCTCATTCACAATCCCCCAACCAGGCCAAAGTTGCCCGCCCCCTTCCAGTTCCCCGCCCCCCCTTCAATCACTTGGTTTCATCCAAGCCTGTGGTCGCCCCTAGCAACGTCCTCCCTCAGTCCAAAGTTGGTTTTTCCCTCCATCACTGCCCACCCCCACCCCCACATCCTGCTCTTGGTTTCTCCCGATCCCGCACTGATCCCGCGCTTGGACTCTCCCGCCGACGCCCCCCAGCGCAGGCCAGCGTTGGTGTCGCCCGGTTCCCCCCGCGCACGCGCACGGTGGTATTTCCCGCCACGCTCCCCCCCCCCCCCATACCTGGTTGGTCACGTCCCCCGGGAGGCCCCGGATCAGTATCTTGCGGCGGTTACGGAACTGGCGCTCGGTATGTTCTAGGCGTTTCCGGATCTCCTCTGGATCTAGCGGCGGCAATTCTTCTTCGGGCGCCCGGCGCTCCGCGGCATCATCAGCTTCAGCCTCGGCCCCAGCCTCCGGGCTCAGCAGGGGCCGGTGAGTAACGGACACGTCGGCCGCCATCTTGGGAAACCCGGCGCCTTCTGGGACCAGCGAGCCTGGGCGGAGCGGCATAGAGCGGCAACGAGGGCACGCCCACCGATTGGCCAGGACAAGCCCCGCCTCCCTTCCCACCCCCTCAGCCCATTGGCTAAGGCCCAGCCCGCCTCTCAGAGTTCAAGCCGCGTCTGGGCACCACAGGCTCCACCCCTTGCTGCCACAGAGATGTCACTCAAAGGACGCCAAGCGCAGTGGGTGAGCTCCTCAGCACACGTGGAATCAAGCCACAGACTCCGGATTTTGAGAGCTTTATTGGTGCGGAACCCGGGGATACAGCCAAACCCCTCATCGGCTTTGGTCCAGCGTTCCCCCAGCTGGAAGTTCAGGATGGATCCTCCCCTACAGCCTCCTCGGGCTGCCTAGACGTCAGGGGCAACGAAGTGCTCCCCTGGTTCACATGGTAGATGTCACTATGCCTGTGGACCCCGAAGACGTACAGTAAGGCAGCGCAGATCGTCACCACGCCCAGGACCGCTAACACCCCCAGGACGATGCTGACGGCGCGGGTGTTCCGATCTATGCAGAGAAGCAAGAAATAAATACACACGCTCTGCCGCCCCACGCCCCCGCCCGGGGTTGCCCATCTATACCCGCGGCCCCGTCTTGGCTCACCCCAAACGTTCATCACCACGGCTATAGTCTGTGTGCCTCGTGAGCTGGCCGCCTTGCAGGAGTACGCTCCATTATGTTTTAACCTGACGAGGAACGGGATCCCGATGGGCACCTCAAGCCGGGAGCCTTCCTGGAAACAGTGCAGCGTGGGGTCCGGGTTGCCCCGAGCCTGGCACTGCAGGACCTGGATAGTCCTATCTTTCCACGTCAAGCGTTGAGGACATTTGGCTTGGTCAATCTTGGGACCGTCTGTGGATCAGTCCAATGATAAGACACACTCGAGGCACAGTGGGGCAAGGGAGAGACTTCCCACCAAACCAGGAGAGCAAGGGTTTAAAGATCAGAGTGACCTACTCACACAAGACACGCAACTGGACGCTGCTGTTTCTGTGTAAGATCTCCCCATCCACCCGGAGGGTCGCACTGCAGAAGAAAATGCGCCTGTCGTCCGTCTCGGTGGCGTTTAGCTGAAACTGGACAGGCTGTCCAGGGGCCGGAGCTGGAACTCCCTCCAGCGTGACCTGGACTCGGGGTCCGGCCAAGCAAGTCACAGTCACTGCGGTCCCCTCGGGGGCGCTGGGCTCACTCAGGTTTAGGATGGGCCCATGGAAGCCTAAAGACGCGACATTGCCCAGTAGGTTACTGACCACGCCCCTCACATAGATCTGTCCCCGCCCTCCACTTGTCTCTTTCTTCTTGGGGTATCCAGGCCATGCCTTTATGCTACTCGGTGCGACGCCCCTTCCCCCCGCCACCCCCGCGGCCCCAGTCCAGCTTAGGGTAATCTTGCTATATATACACCCTTCGTGTAATTTAGGCCCCGCCCACACGACAACCCCTTCCTCTCTGAGGGCTCAGACCCCACCTCTCCAGTTTAGTCTCCGCCCTATATATGTCACTCCACTGCGGATACCGAAGCCCCGCCCCTTGTCTCGCCTGGCCTGCTGTCTTGGCTCCGCCCCCTCTTACTGTAGATGGTTATGTTCTCCCGGGCCTCCCAGCTGACGTTCGCCAATGTCATGTTGCAGACAATCTCCCGGGCACCCTCCTGTTCCATGCTCGCTGTGGCTGTGGCTGTGGCCGTGATCGTGTTCCCGTGGTTCTCGACTGTAGAGTTCAGCGTCTGGTTCCCCAGCGCCAGGTGGACCTGGACCTCAGAGGCGGGGAACAACCCGTCCACGGTGCAGTTCACGGACCAAGTCGTTCCCACCTCCAAGAACCGAGGGACAGTGAGGTGTGGAGTGGTCACGGGCAGTGCTGGGGAGAAGGGCGGACGTGAGCAGGAGGAGGGTCTCCCAGAGCCCTGGGCGTCCCTTTCCCCATGGAATGCTCACTGTCCCGAACCAGGGTCCTTCTTTCCCAGGATATCTTGCGGCCTGGCTCACCACCTTCCCAGGACACACCCCCTTAGACTTCTCGTTAGTTACCGCGGCCTCGAGTCTCCCAACTGAGGCTACACCGTCCTCAGTGGCCAAGGGCATCCCTTCCCAGAAGCCGCTGAGGTCCAGTCCCCTCCATTTGCAAGAAACCTCCCGACCAGGGTACCCCTTCTCTGGCTCAGCTCATCACCCACCCTCTGCAGCCTCTTCCCTCACCAAAGGTTTGGAGCTGCCTGGGGGCCGAGCTGTTCTGGAACAATCCCAGCCCTCCGGGCCTCAGGTCCAGTTCCGTGCGGCAGGAGAAATTGGCGAGGTGGTCCTCTCTGCCCGCCAACACCGCGACCGTGACCTCGGCGGGTTCCCCGACGGCTGGCTGCCGGCTCAGCTCCTCCTCCCCGCGGAGCAGCACCACGGTGAGGTTTCTCCGGGGCGCCCCGCCTGCCACCTGGCAGCGCAGGGTGAGGTTTTCGCCCACGGGCTGCCAGCGGGGCAGGGGTAACAGCTCCACTCGCTCCGGGAACCCTGGGGCGGGGTTGGGAGCGGGGAGCGTTGTACTCACCAGCCAGCCCTACAACTCCCACCCCAGGGAGCTGAGAGAAAGCTGAAGGTGGCCCAGGGCAGAACTGAACTTTGAGTTAATAAATGGGGAGGGCTTAGTACTGTGCCAGAAGTGTTTGCTATTGTCCTTAACATCATGATTATTATTTCCTGTTTTGTGGGATCCCTTGCCAGGAACCGAAATAGAAGTCAGATTTTCTGTTCCTGAGAAATTCACGTTGAGGAAAAAAAAAGGGGGAAGAAAGGGGACTAAGTTATGACCACTTACAATGTTATTAGTGCTTATAAAAGTTCCTGTTTATTTAGTTTTCCTTAGACTTTCCAAATGTCCTTCTCCTTCATGCACACAGCAACCAAGCGAAATCTCTATATCCTTCTTTTTTATGGATAGGGAAACTGAGGCCCAGAGAGGTGAGGGTAAGGTGATCTACCCAAGGACACAGAGCCAGAAAGGGACCCAGCTGGGGTTAGAAGGTGAGTCACCCAAACTCCAGGCCCATGTGTGTTCCCCTGCCTCCTTGATGTCACAGCCTGGGACTCCCACAGCCCACCTCCCAGCGTCTGGCCTGGACTCTGGCCTTGGCCTCCTCAGTCAGTCCCAGGCACTCAAGGCTCTTCTGGGGCAGCCTCTCAGGGTGACCAGGCTGGCTGGGTCTGCTCCCAGCGGCAGCTGCAGTGCCCCTCCTAGGCATGGGGACCAAATCCCGGGCCCCCTTCGGGAAGCATCTTGGGCCCTCGACAACTCAAGCCTGGATCTCAGCTATCACACGGAGGCCAGTGCACAGGCTGCTGTGAAAAATAGCTAACATCTTCCTGCAGGTGTCCCCCGCTTTCCAAAAGTTCATGACTCCACTTTGGTGAAAGCCCAACATTAATTAGCACCTGTTTTCGCTAAGCAGAAGAAATCGGAAGAGGATTTTCGCTTTTAAGAAAAATAGCCAGGGGGCGCCTGGGTGCCTCCATCAGTTAAGTCTCTGCCTTCCTCTAAGGTTGTGATCCCAGATCCTGGGATCCAGGCCCACATCGGGCTCCCTGCTCATCAGAGAGCCTGCTTCTCCTTCTCCCTCTGCTCCTCCCACCTGCTTGTGCTCTCTCACTCTCTCTCTCTCACATAAATAAAATCTCTTAAAAAAGAAAAGGAAAGGAAAATGGCCAGGGGCGCCTCTGCACAGTTGGTTAGGCCTCCAGCCCTGGGTTTCGGCTCAAGTCATGATCCCAGGGTCATGAGATCGAGCCCCACGTTGGGCTCTGTGTTCAGTGCAGACTCAGCTTGAAATTCTCTCTCCCTCTCCCTCGGCCTCTCCTGCTTGTGCTCCCTCTCAAATAAATAAATCAACCTTTAAAAAAAAAATTGGCAAAAAGCAAAGATAACATTCAGTGTTGGTATTGCAGGGAGGGGTTATAGGGCAGCAGATATCATGTCCAGTGAGAGGGGCATCCAAGGTCCTTCCCTGGGATGACACTCAGCATCCCAGCAGCGATCCACTGGAGCTCTGACCTGCGTCTGCGAGCATCGGGGCTTTCTCCCCATTTATTTTGTGAGCCTGTTAGCAAAATGTGTCCGTAAGATGTATCAGAAAAGCCTAGGAGATGTTATTTTTGGCGTCTGAGAATGCTCAAGATTTTTTTCAATAGAAATTGATTGCTGCTTCACTTTCCATCATTTTTAAAAAAAGATTTTATTTATTTATTTATTTATTTATTTATTTATTGGAGAGGGAGAGAGAGAAAGAGAATACACACAAGCGAGGGGAGCAGCAGAGGGAGAGGGAGAAGCAGGCTCTCTGCTGAGCAGGGAGCCTGATGGGCTCTATCTCAGGACTCTGGGATCATCACCTGAGCTGAAGTCAGACACTTAAGGACTGAGGCCCACAGGCCCACCAACTTTACATCATTTTGACTCACAAAAGTTTTCACAGGAGTGCTTTCCTTTGGAATAGTAGGAGAAGCCTGTATTTACAATTTTAGAGTATTTAACAAAAAGGGCCCCCATCCAACCTCGGGCACCAGGGGTCAGAGATGGTGGCATGTGGGCCAATGCTAGTAACGCTTGGGAACTCAGGGCTGGGGTGGGGTGGGACAGCCCCAACATGGAGAGTTTGCCAGTTTCTGCAGTGTAAATACTCCTACTCTGGCTGCTTTTAAGCTACCCAACGTGACGCAGGGTCTCGAAGGGATGAGTGCATTCGGCTCCTGTGAGCCAGGACTGACAGGCTTCCACAGAACGCTGGACAGAGGTATCTGGGATACACAGAGATCTGCACCTTACACGGAAATGCAGATACAAAGACATAAAAGCACAGACGTGTCCCGACGCAGACCTCCACGCCCATCACACACAGATACACACATCGACACAGAAACACATGCTCACACACAGAGACACACACAGGCGCAGATCCTGAGCCAGACTTACCCACACTCACATTCACACCCCCACACGCCACAGGCACACACAAACATGCAGACAGACACTAACGCCTGTGTACACTCCACACAGACCCACAGAGATGATGACACACGTATGTACATGCACAGACACGCACATGGGGACACAGACACAGGCGCACACACGATCCCATGCATATACCACACTTCTCTATGAAGGCTCCGCCAAATGGCAGGGACCAGGAGGGGCGTGCTCTCTTTTCTGATCTATTGGATTCCTTTAAACGCAGAAAAACTCTGGCAGGAAGCATAAGAAACTAGTAACAGGAGCGCCTGGGTGGCTCAGTGGGTTAAAGCCTCTACCTTCGGCTCAGGTCATGATCTCAGGGTCCTTGGATCGAGCCCTGCATCAGGCTCTCTGCTCCATGGGGAGCCTGCTCCCTCCTCTCTCTCTGCCTGCCTCTGCCTACTTGTGATCTCTCTCTGTCAAATAAATAAATAAAATCTTAAAAAAAAAAAAACAACAAAGAAAGAAACTGGTAACGGCGGGGATTGGGGAAGACTCAGCTGTTAGGAGCAAGGACCTGAGAGCCAGATGACCAGCTTCTCCACTCGTGGGCTGTGAGCCCCGACAAGCGACTTGACCCCACTGAGCCCTCTGTCCTCATTTGCGGAATGAGGCTCCTCGGGGTTCCTCCCCCAGACTGGGGCTGCTTATGGACTGAAAGAGCACCCAGTGTCCACATGAACACATCGCAGCCAGCACTAGGAAGAATGGAGGTTCTGACTTTAATGCCTTTTTATAACTCTTGATTTGAAACCACATACATGACTTATTCCCTGCCATAAGAAATAGAGAAAGAAAAGAAGATGTCATCGAAAAAAGTGCTTGATGGGATCCAAGTAAATTGATTCCGCAGCTGTTGCCTTGGCATATGGTTGTGATGTGCCCCTCTCTCCACACACACACACACACACACACACACACACACACACACACGCTCAGGTCCACACTCTGGGTCAGAGCCCAGGTCCATCTCTGCAGACTCAGGGTTCCCTGCTCCCCCACACCCCTCACCATCTCCCCACCCCAACTACTGCCCCAGGCCGGTCCCATCTCCAGGCTCTATCACTCACGGTACACTGTGATGATCAAGAAGCCTATCATCTGAACATCATTGCAGAAGCCAGAGCAGAGGACCTGGGTGTCACCAGTCACATTGAAGAGCTGGAAGGCCGCCCAGCCCAGGCCATTGCCCACAGGTTCCTTGGATAGGGATGTCTCTAGGGCGATGAGGTTGGGATTGGGGCAATCCGTACTGCAGTTGACCAAGAAGGACCCCCCGGCAGGCACCACGGGGCTCTGGACCTCCACCCTCAGCGGGAACTGCTGTCCTGGGGCACCTGTGGGAGCAGAGGGACACTCTACTGGCCGGTGCCTCTCCCCAGCCCCCGACAGCCCACCTCTCAACACCACCTCCCTGCATTTGTGGTGCCTCAGTCCAGTGGGGAAGACGGATGATTGGTCAGGAGTTGGGGAAAGCCCTGAGGAAGGCTAGGGGAGACCCTGATCCAGCCTGGAGGAGGAAGTGAGCCAACAAAAGCTTCCTGGAGGAGGAGGCAAATCGGGCCAGCTCTGAAGGGAAAATAGGAGTGTTCTGAGTGAAAGGGAAGAGATCCCGGCAGAGGGGAAAGTAGAAACAAAGGTCCAGGGAAGGAGTCTGTGGGGGGGTGGGGGCGGGGCAAGTCACATTGCAGGGATGAGGCATCAGGGAGCCCTGAAGGCCGAGGTAAACAGCCGTTCTGTTGAGGCCGCTGGGTGAGTACCCGCCGGATTCGAGTTTAGGGAAGTGTTACAGGGCCAGGAGCGGGGTGAGGGAAGCTCTGCTTCATCAATTCCCACCCCCACCCTGCCGGCCATCGGCCAGTACCCCAGCTCCAATCCTCCCCAGCCTGACTTGCCTCACCTGGGGGCAGCAGACAGCAGACGAGAAGCAGGGAGATGAGTGGAGTCCCGAAGGCCCCGGGCAGCAGCCCCGGGAGCACCATGGTGGCCAGCCTGTAGGAGAAAGTCGTCCTAATGCGGTCCAGGGCAGCCGGGGGTGGGGTGGGGGAGTGGGTGTGGCCCCCACGGGACGGAAGCCCAGCCACAGCGTTAAAACTGCAGAAGTCCAGGGGCGGCTCTTCGGGCCAGCCCTGGAGAAGAGCAGGGGGTCCGGAGTGGGGGGACCCCAGCGAGGTAGAGGCTGCTGGTGGGTCTTGGACGGGGCAGGCCTGACTCACACCGCTGGCCCCCGTGATCGACAGGAAATGCTAACACAGTTGGCTTCCTTTGTGCTCAGTACTAGGAAGCCTGGGGTGCGTTGGAGGAGGTGATGAGACGCCTCCTTCCTGCTGAACTTGGGTGAAGGGGGTGCTCGGTTTCCAGAGAAGAAGTTAACAGGGGATCTCCAGGCAGGCAGTGTCCTTGAGGTGATGAGGTGGGATTGCACAAGGACAGTGGAGGGACTTGTAGGCAGGGTCTAAAGGCGTTAGCGTGGGGACCTGATATTCCCGGGATGAGGCAAATAAGAGACTTGGGGGAGATAGTGAGGGTCCCCTAAGATGAGTAAAGACATGAAAATGGACAGAAGCCACGTTGAAGGGGCCCGGGTGCCTGGCTCTGCATTGACTTGTCTGAGTGGCTACTGTGGGGGTGCTTTAACTTGGAAGATCTTGGAGGATCCCCCCATTTCCTGTGTGTCATGCTGAGGTGGGGTGTTTGGAGTACAGCCAAATCCTGGGCCGAATCCAGCCGAAGGTGCTACTTATAACTGGCCCTTCCCTCCCTCCTCACAACCCCCCCTGCCTCCCCTTGCCCCCTCCCCTGGGGGCAGCAGCTTTCTCTACCCCAAGAAAAGGTTCTGGGGGCCCAGGTGGGCACTTCCATTTCCATCTGCTCCATCTCCAGAGCTTCGGACCTTGTCTCGTGCCTCTGATCTGAGCTCTAGAGAGGAACCTTGTTGAGGTCCTCGAGGGCAGCCAGCATCCACCCTCTGTCCCCATTCCGAGACAATGCCCCCTGCTCTCTCAGCTGGAATATCTCCCCGCTCCAGTTGGGTCTCTCCCCTGCTGCCCTGCCCTGGGTGGGGAGGTGGGGAGGTGGTGGGGGGCACCCCCGTCCATTTCCCCTAAAGTCCTGAGAGGGCGCCTAAAACCAAAATCAAAAGTATTTGTAAGTAACCCTGGTCTCCCTCCCTTTTCTAAAGTTCCGTTACGCCACTTGGCTTTTACGAAAGACTTACATTAGTACCTGTTTTTTTTTTTTTTTTTTTTAGTACCTGTTTTTTTTAACCAAAGGAAATCTGAAGAGAATTTTCCTTTTTAGGAGAAAAGATTAAAAGCGAAAATAGTATTCAGCATTGGATTCGTAGTGGACGTTATAGAGGACGGTGCCCAACTACGCAGTGGGAGGGGCGCCCCAAGTCCTTCCCCGGGATGACACTCAGCATCCCAGCAGCGAGCCGCTGGAGCTCTGACCTGCGTCTGCAAGCATCGGGGCTTTCTCCCCATTTATTCTGGGTCTGGGAACACTAACAATTTTTTCCACATAAATTCATGATAATTACTTCTTCACTTTAGGCCATTTTTGACTTATAAAAGGTTTCATAGGAACGCATCACTTTGGCATGGCTGGGGGAACTTATGTTATCTGGTGAGGGATTATATCCAGTTTAGAGAAATTCCTGCAAGTTACAGAGGAAGTAAACAGGGGATCTCCAGTCAGGTACTGTCCTTGAGGTGATAAAATGGGATTGCAAGGCAACATTTCAAGAGGACAATAGGGGGACTTCTAGGAGGGTCTAAAAGCCTTAGCATGAGGGCTCAATATTCTTGGGGTGGGGAATGCAACTACAACACAACTCAACAACAACAAAAAAAAACCCATTTGAAAATGGGCAAAGGACTTGAATAGACATTTCTTCAAAGAAGCTATTTAGGGCACCTGGATGGCTTAGTCGGTTAAGCATCTGCTTTCAGCTCAGGTCATGATCCCAGGGTCCTGAGATCAAGCCCCGAATCAGGATCCCTACTCAGTCAGCAGCCTGCTTTTCCCTCTCCTTCTGCTGTTCCCCCTGCTCATGCGCTCTCTCCCTCTCTCAAATAAATAAATAAAATCCTTTTTTTTTAAAATGGAAAGTGAAGAAGCAATCAATTTCTAGTGAAAAAAATCTTGAGCCTTCTCAGACTCCCGAAATAATATCTCTTAGACCTGATCCCACGAATGAGCTAAAACCAAGAGTCAGATGCTTAAACGACTGAGCCACCCAGGTGTCCCTAAAAAATTTTTTTGGGGGGGGCACCTGGGTGGTTCAGCTGGTTAAGCAGCTGCCTTTGGCTCAGGTCATGATCCTGGAGACCCAGGATCGAGTCCCGTATTGGGCTCCCAGCTCCGCGGGGAGTCTGCTTCTCCCTTTGACCTTCTCCTCTCTCGTGCTCTCTCTCACTCTCTCTCAAATAAATAAATAAAATCTGAAATGCCTTTTAAAAAGAATGTGTCAAAAAAAAATAAAAATAAAAATAAAAATAAAAAGAATGTGTCTTTTTAAAGTAGGTTCCACGTCTACGTGGAGCTTGAACTCATAACCCCAAGATCAAGAGTCACAGGGTCCACCTACTGAGCCAGCCGGGCCCACCACATGCTACTATTTTTGCAAGAGTTGAGAAAGCCTAGTATGTGCACAGATTTCCTTTTTCTAGATAGTCTCTGGAAGCAAGAACGGGAAACCAGATGACATTAGCTGCCTTCAGGGAGATGACAGTAGTGGCTTGTAGAGGGACAGTTCACCGCATGGGTCAGTATCACCTACCTCGTGCCCATTTATAACTGTAATGCATATTTAATATGAAAACTGTTATAAAAAGCAAACCTCAACACATCCGTATGGAATTATCTGGAAAAGGAGAGCTGCAGGCCACAAGGTCTCGAGAAACCAAAGCAGAAAGAAAAATATTTCAGTGCGTTTCACAATGTGGCCTGACACACATCCTATTTCAGTAGAAACGCCTCAGCAGGGGACCTGGGTGGCACAGCGGGTTAACCGTTGGACACTTTGTTTCGGCTCAGGTGGTGATATCAGGGTCCTGATCTCAGGATCGTGAGATCAAAGCCCCGTGCTGGGTTCCACACACATGGAGTCTGCTTGAAATTCTCTCTCCCTCTCCCTCTGCCCCTCTCGCTCGTGCTCTAACACATACATCTTAAGGGGGAGAAAAGCAAAATTAATCATTTCCTTAAAAAAAAAATAAAAGAAACACTTTGGCAAACACCAGATTAACAAGAATATAAAATGTTTATTAAGTACATTGTTTGCATATCTGTCCACTAAGCGTCTGACTTAAAGAACCCCATTAGCTATTTCTGTGAGTCCCCCAAGGTAGCCAGCACGACCATGCCCAGTTCAGAGCTGAGAGCTAAGGCCCAGAGAGGGAGAGCCATTTGCCTGAAGTCACACAGGGAAGAAAGCGTGAACCCGGAAGGCTTATCTACCTGGTGCAGGGCCCCTCCAAGCCCTGCATTCTTTGTTGATCTCTATGCGAGTAGTTCCCACAAGCCTTCTGTGCTCCAGGCACTGGCCTGCTAGCTGGGGATTCGGTCGAAGCAAAGGTCGGAGATATGTCTGGCTTCCTCTGCAGCGTCCTGCTCCAGCTGCAAAGCCCAGGACAGCAAACACCGGCTGAAGAAGGGCCCAAGGAACACGGCCTCCAGCAGAGAAAATATGAGTTTATTACCAGCTAGTGGAAATGCCGGGCCCTAACTAAGGCTGGAAGTGGGGAGGCCAGAAGATTGGATTCAAGGGCCTGATTAGGTCCTTGCTTGTCCCGGGTCCCTCAGGGGCCTGCACCAGGCTCATAACCATGGAGGGTGTGACAGTTTGAAGGGTTGTGTCCCCTCAAAATTCTCACATTGAAATCCCAATGCCTCATATGACAGTATCAGGAGGTGGGCCTCTGGCAGGTGCTAAATCATGATGGTGTCCTTGGGCTTAAGTGTCCTTATAAGAGGGACTCCAGTGAGATCCCCAGCGCCCCCCTCCCCGACCCTGTAGGGACCCAGCCAGAAGGTGTTGGCTGTGAAACAAGAAGAGGGCCTTCACCAAAATGTGACCGTGCTGGCACCTTGGTTTTGGACTTCCCAACCTCCAGAACTGTGAGAAATAAATTTGTTTATAAGCCATCCCATCCGTAAGACTGCTACAGCAACCCAAGGGAGTAAGACAGAAGGAAAGTCCATTCACAGACATGGCGGCTCCGGTCAGGAGTAAGGCACTGGGAACGGTGAGGCAGGCCTCTCCTTGTCGGGTTCCTCTGGGGCCTGGGAGGCCCTCTGGGTGGGCGCCTGCTCTGGTCCCCCGAGAGCCACTGCTAAGCTTCAGCACACATTGAACACTGAGGCGGCCTGGCCTTGGTATTTCTCCTGGACTGTCTTGAGAATGGGTATGAGGTTCTGGAAGGTGGGGCGGAATGAGGCCTCTGCCTCCCAGCAGTTCTTCATGAGGAGATAGATCTGGGCAGGAAAGAAGGTGGGTCTGCGGGGGGGCTGCTCTCTCTGCGGTATGATGGCAGGGAGGTGAAAAGTGGAGCGGGGGTCTCACCTCACAAGGACATCTCTCTGGCCGGGGCAGCCTCTCCCCGCGTTCCAGCAGCTCAGTGAGCCTCAGCACCGTCATCTGCCCCTGGGTGAGACCTATGAGCTCCATGAATTTCTACACAGAGACAAAAGCAGCTCTTTTCAGGGGGCGGGGCCGGCTAGACAGCCGTCAGAAGCTGCCGGCTCAGCAGTCCCTGCCCGCCTCCACCAGGATGTGGTGCCCAGGTTCAGATTTATGACCTCATCTCTCTGGGCTTCAGTTTACTCATCTGTAAAATGGGGCGATAACATCTACCACTGGGTTATATTGAAGGTAGGTAATTAACACTCACGGAGTAAGTCGGAGGTGGGGGGGGGGGCGGTTGCTGTTAAGCCTCTCAGCAAAGTGTTTTCATCGGTCCAGAATCCTTTGCCCACCCCTCTGACCATGGCCTTTGGGAATAAACTCGGAGCACAGCCTTGGTTCCTCCCCCAGCCGAGGCCTGGCCAATAACCATGGTTCGGGGGGCCAAGCTGGGCCAATCAGAAAGCCCTCAATGATGCTGGTGGGGAGGAGACACTTTGGTCCCCTCAGCTGGGAGGCTGCACCTGCAGAGCTAGGGGGCCACTGCTGCCACAACGGAGCAGGGGGCGGGGGTGGGGGTGGGGATGGGGGGGGCTGCCTGAGAGATGCCTCCTCGGAGAGCAGCTGAGTGGAGATGGAGAAAAGTGGGTCTCCTGAGGACAGCTGAGGATCTAAGTCAAGCTGTGCCTTCCCGGC